TTATATTTAGGTGCTATTTGATACATACAAAGTAAAATTCTCGGCCTGATGGCCAGCATGAGTCTAGTTCCATGGTACAGCTCAGCCAGTGCTGTAAGCACCAAGCCGGACACTTCACTAAGAATGGCAACAGCAGCCACGTGGCTGATCACAGCACGCAGCTACTGAAGGGGCTGTGAGACAAGTCAGACTCTGAGGGTACGTCTACACTACGAGATTAATTCGAATTTAGATAATTCGAATTTGGGAAACAGATTGTATAAATTCAATTGTGCGCGGCCACACTAAGCACATTAATTCGGTTTTTAACCACATTAATTCGGTGGTGTGCGGCCACACTACCCCATTAATTTTAACCACATTAATTCGGTGCTGTGCGGCCACACTACCCCTAATTCGAATTTACAAAATCGATTTTGGTGCTACTCCGCTCGTCGGGGTGGAGTACAGAAATCGATTTTAAGCACCCTTTAATTCGAAGTAACTGGCTCCGTTGTGTGGACGGGTTAAGGATTAATTCGGATTAACGCAGCTAAATCCGAATTAAAGTCGTAGTGTAGACCAGGCCTGAGAGAACTAAATAGGGTTTGCAAGGGAGGAGCCAGGAGCTGCCACTGATGCTGTAGCAGCCCAGGCAGCGAAGGTGAGGGGGGAACTGGCAGATCTGGATGGGCAAGAGATTTCTGCTGTTATGAGGCTTCATCTGCACATTTCACAACAATTATGACATGTTCACTATGTTCCCCCCTTACCCAGGGCCAGCAAAATCAGCTCTGATTTCTCCATATACCAATACACGTTGTGCAGAGAACCTCTTCTCACCCAATTGCTTCTCCTCTTCCTCCCAGATTGCTTGGATGCTGTCTCCTTTGCCATCTCCAGAGCTTGGGACTCTCTGAAGAGGCTGTGGGATCTCAGCATGGTCTCAGGTATCACACACTCCATGTCCTTATCTCTGTTGCAGCTTCCATGTTAGTATTCTCTCTCTCTCCTTGCTGTTCTTCACTGGAGTGGCCAAGCTGCGTTTTTACTCTTGAACAGCATCCCAAACTAAGTTGAAGAGCAATCACCAAGAAATCTGTCCAATTCACCATAGACATGCTGTTATTGTCTCAGGCCATATTATAGAATCATAGAGTTCAAGGCCAGAAGGGACCACCAGATCATCTAGTCTGACCTCCTGCGTATAGCAGGCCATCAACCCCACCCAGCACCCGCACACTAAATCCAACAATGGAAATTAGACTGAAGTATTACAGCCCACTGTAGAATAGACTATTATGTGCCACAAGCAGGGAAATGATTACATGAGATACACCCAGATAATGCTGGCAAGTCACTCGCACCCACATGCTGCAGAGGAAGGCAATAAAACCCACAATCTAACCTGAGGGAAAATTCCTTCCTGACCCCACTTATGGTGATCAGTTAGATCATGGGTGGGCAAATTATGCCCTGCGGGCCGGATCCGGCCCGTGAGCCATTTTAAGCTGGCCTGCGAGCCGCACCACATGGCTTGGCCCTGCTCCGGCGCTCCAGCCGGGGCGGAGGCAGCACCAGCAACTCGACCCCACTCCGACGCTCTGGCCGGGGGGCGCTGGTTCGGGGCTGCACCACGCAGCTCAGCCCCGCTCTGGTCGGGGCCGCACCATGCGGCTCCTGGAAGCTGCGGCATGGCCCCACTCCAGCTCCTATGTGCTCCAATGGAAACTGCAGGGGCGGTGCCTGTGGATGGGGCAACGAGCAGAGCCACCTGGCAACGCCTCTGTGTAGGAGCCGGAGAAGAGACATGCCACTGCTTCCAGGAACCGCTTGAGGTAAGTGCCACTCAGAGCCTGCACCCCCTGAGTCTCTCCCCACGCCCCAACACCCTGCCCCAGCCCTGATCCCCCTCCTGCTCGCCAAACCCCTCGATCCCAACCCAGAGCACCCTCCTGCACCCCAAACCTTTCATCCCCTGCCCCACCCCAGAGCCCGCACCCCCAGCCAGAACCTGCACCCCTTCCCCAGCCCTGATCCCCCTCCCGCCCTCTGAACCTCTCGGTCCCAGCCCTGAGCACCCTCCTACACCCAAAACTCCTCATGCCCACCCCAGAGCCCACACCCCCTCCCACACCCCAACCCCAATTTTGTGAGCATTCATGGCCCTCCATACAATTTCTATTCCTCGATGTGGCCCTCAGGCCAAAAAGTTTGCCCATCCTGAGCATGTCAGCAAGAACCAGGCAGCCAAGCACCTGAGAGAGAGAATGCTCGGTGCCACCTCAGAGCCCTGGCCCACCCTGCCCAGTGTCCCATCTCCAGCCATGGCCATCCCTCATGTTTCAGAGGAGGAGAGAAAAAAACTTCCCAGAATACACTGAGGGGTGGAATCCCTTCCTGACTCCTGCCCTTAACATTTTCCTGCATTACTCACTCGACTGAGTGATGCTTTGGTCAGCAAGGGATTTGGAACCAGGTGACAGATTGGGTGTTCTGAATTACAGATTTCAACTATGACTGGATCTCCTTGTCGTCCCAGATGGTCACCAATTCCCCCACAACTGCCTCTGGACCGCTGGCAGCACAGCCATAGGAATCCTTCTCCTGAGAATTGCTGGTAAATAACAATGCCGCAGAAGAAGCTGATGCTGGGATCTGGGACAGGCATCTTGGGTGGTCACAATATGGTGGTTGTCAGGCCAAATTTCTCTAATGTAGGCAAAGCTCAAGTTTAAACCTCTACTAATTCATATCACAACAAAGGTTTACCCTCTGTGAAAATACCGTAGAATGTGCAAAGTGGAATTCCTGTCTACATTGCAAATAATAGTCTACATTTTATGAAATATTTTCACTTACTGGTGCACTTTTTAGTATCCTATAAATAAGTCAGAAAGTTTGAAGGATTTCATAATGAAGTCATTTTGTGATATAATTCAGAACAACTCTACCTGATAGATAAGGAGCAAGGTGCAAAATGTATATGTAATGTTCTGCATGTGGTACATTACATTGATCCTCAGCTAAAAGAGACTTGAGCTACCTCTTGGTAAGTTATCTTGGAAACCCTAAGATATTATCACTTAGAACGTCCCAGGTTTATCCTTCCTAATTCTGTCACAAATGGCCTTTCTCTAGGCACTGCCCTAATACAAATAATAAATAATAAAATAACAACAATGAAATCTTATTCTTTTTCTTCTTTGTTTCTGGTAGTACCCACACTGTGCTAAGCCCTTCCCAAATATACAAGAAGGCATTGCAATGCCTACGAGACTTAGGAGCCTAAGTATCATTTTCAAAAGTGACTCAGGCACTTAGAAGCCTAAGTCCCATTGACTTTCTGGCTCTTAAGGGCCAGATTTTCAAAGGTATTTAGGTGCCTAAAGATGCAGATAGGTACTTAGTGTGATTTTCAAAAGCACATGAGCAAGTTAGGTGCTTAACTCCCATTAATTTCAGCAGGAGTTAGGCACCTAAATACCATTGAGGATCTGGGCCTACAGGTATGTCTACACAACAAAGAAAAACCCATGGCTGGCCCATGCCAGCCGACTCAGGCTCATGGGGCGCAGGCTACAGGGCTGTTTCACTGCTGTGTAGATGTCTAGGCTTGGGCTGTAGCCTGAGCTCTGGGACCTTCCCACCCAGCAGGGTCCTTGAACCCCATCTTCAGCCCAAGCCCGGAAGTCTACACAGCAATGAAACAGTCCCACAGCCTGAGCCCCACGAGCCTGCATCGGCTGACATGGGCCAGCTAGGGGTTTTTCTTTGCTGTGTAGTCATACCCTAAGACAGGGGTGGGCAAACTTTTTGGCCCGAGGGCCAGATTGGGGTTGTGAAACTGTATGAAGGGCAGGGTAGGGAAGGCTGTGCCTTGCCAAACAGCCTGGCCCCCACCCCCATCCGCCCCCTCCCACTTCCCACCCCCTGACTGCCCTCCTCAGAACCCCTGACCCATCCAACCCCCCCTGCTCCCTGTCCCCTGACCGCCCCCTCCTGGAACCCTCCACCCCTAACCACCCCCGGAACCCCACCTCCATCTAACCCCCCCTGCTCCCAGTCCCCTGACTGTTCTGACCCCTGTCCACACCCCCACCCCTTGACAGGCCCCCGGGGACCCCATGCCTATCCAACCCAACCTGTTCCCCGTCCCCTGACCCCTATCCACACCCCCGCCCCCTGACAGGCCCCCCCGGGACTCCCACGCTTATCCAACCCCCCCGTCCCCCATCCCCCATCCAGAACCTCCGCCCCATCCAACTGCCCCCTGCTCCCTGACCCCTGACTGCCCCCCGGGACCCCCCACCCCTTATCCAACCACCCGGCCCCCTTACCATGCCACTCAGAGCAGCATGTCTGGAGTCGCGCCACATGGCCAGAGCCAGACACGCTGCCGCACTGCCTGGCAGGAGTGCACAATCCCGCCGCCCAGAGCGCTAGCCTCCCCGGCCGGGAGCTCAGGGACCGGGCAGGATGGTCCTGCGGGCCGGATGTGGCCCACGGGCCGTAGTTTGCCCACCTTTGCCTTAAGAGGCCAAGCAGCAACATTACACCAGTCCTACACTGAATTTGTTTCTTCCCAAGAGATAAGGTCAGGTAGTGTCTCACTGAATTTGCTAACTATTTTTGAAGATTATCATTAATCTGTTAAAGGATTTGCAGATCTTGGACTTCCCCTGACACTGTGAGATTATAGGAACTAACCAGCTGTATCATTGACAGTATACTGGGGAAATATTAACTAAAAGTAAAAGCCTTTTATAAGAAGACCATAAAATGCTACTAGTAATTATGTTTTTCCAAAGTTAATCATTAACTTTTGTTTATTTGCCTTTTTAAAGCTATTTTCATTTCTGTCCTTCACTGGATAAAAACGATAAAAGATCCAGCAAATTGGATTCTCCCTTTTTCCCCTAGCACACACCTATGTGCAAAGGCTGATGAGACAGCAGCTGATTAGGAAGCTTATTTGAGGGAACCTACCTCAATTACTGGATCTTGGCTCAGAAGGAAGTATGTTGGTCCATCTTTGGCTTCTTTGCAGTCTCACTGCTGTTGCTACATCACAGGATACAACACAAGAGGCCAGCAACTTTTTGTCTCAATTCAATGTACGAGCAGAAGATCTATCTTATGCAAGTTCACTTGCCTCCTGGGACTATAACACCAACATCACCGATGAGAATTCCAGAAAGATGGTGGGTACTCAACACTGTCTAGGAATGTTTGCTATGATATTAGAAATTATATTATAACTACATGATATTTTATTGTATTGCTGTAGATAGATATATAGGAATTGCTAATGGATAAGGAACTAGGGATGGGTTCAATTTTTGATTTTAGTTCAGTAGTTACTGAAAAATTTCTGATGGTCATTTGGTGAGTTATGTGAAATGAGTTGGTGACCTAAATCTATTTCACGGTGGATGATTGTCTGCCTCAAAACACTGTGGCTATTCTCATAGATTAGCATCCTTAGCAATCACCAGTGGAATAGGTAGAATTGTACTGTGAGGAAAATTTAATGAAGACATAGATTTCCAGATTCCCAAGGCCTGATGTTCTGACTAACAGAAGCTAGTATATAGCCACAGGAAGGACAGTGACAGTTGTGCTTGCCCTATCTCACAATAAGATTCACTATCTCCCAGTCTCTAACTATCCAGCCTCTTCTCAGCCTCTAGCTATCCAGTACAATCACCTGCCCCTCTAGACAGATATCATATGCTGTGACAGCATTCAACCGTAATCTGATTGGTCACTGAGGATTCAGTGCTGCAGCCATATTAGAAAGCATCTACTATCCTTGGAATCTTGAAAATCAATGGAAAATATTGTGGTGACTTTTGTAGCTATATTTTAAAGCAAACTAGTTTCTAAATGACAGGTTTCAGAGTAGCAGCCGTGTTAGTCTGTATCCGCAAAAAGAACAGGAGTACTTGTGGCACCTTAGAGACTAACAAATTTATTTGAGCATGTTTTGGCATGTGATGATGCAGTGTAATCTCAACAGACCTAATTTTGAATAAAGGTATAACCCAGAATCACCACAACCAGTGGAGTCTTATTAGTTAATGAAAACATGGTTAAGTGTAACATTTCTTAATCAAAATATAGTCTCTGATTGCAGGATGAAATCCTCCTGGCTAATCATAGTTCTGTGACATTCTAAAACACATAAAATTGAAGCTCCATTTAGCAGCTTTAAGCAATAGAATAGGATAATAAGGTGGCTCAGTATGATACCAGTAATGAACACAAGTGTGATGGTGCTCAGGGATGGTGCCTCTGGTTGTCCCTCGTGCATGCACTATTGTGATGCCAGCAGTGACACTGGTATGGCACCTGCCCGCTAAAGGGACAAAGTTAATGAAAGGTGCCCCCAGTGGCTTCCTCAAATCCACTTTTTTCATAGAATGGGGTCACCCCTCCATAATCACACAACCATTTTGCCCACTCCTCAACCAGTTCTCCAAATGGGTGGGGACAGCCCATGCACTCAACCAGCCCATCTTGTGGAGAGGTACCGGCTGGCAACCCAACTTCCCCCAGCTGGATCTTCTCATTGGGCAGAAAATGCCCCCTCTCCGCCTAACTCCCAATCTGCTTAGTCATCCCCACTGGGATCAAATAATGTAAAAAATACATTTGCATACTAATACATTTGACTCTGGTTGGGTATCAAACACCAGGACTGAGGTGTTAGAAAGAAAATGATGCCCATTTTTGCTCATTCCCAAAGAATAAAGGGAAAAAAAGACACTGCGAACATATTCATACATAGTTCTGAATGTACGCATGCTGGGTGGTAATTCTTATCTTCTGATGAGTCATTAGCAAGGAGCTATGATAACCATAAGTACAATGTCCCTTAAATGTCCTGGAACATACAGAAGGGAGATTAGAAGTGACCTAAGATTCCAAACCAAACCTGCATGCCAGGGTCTCATTGTGCTCGTTGTCCATAACAAAAGACGGAAATGAAAGCCGGCTCTTCTAGTGACTGCTGAAATCCAAATCATGTTAAGTGCTAAGGGTTGCACTGCATCTGTGAGCCAGCTTGTCTTGCAGAGTATAGACACACAGAGTAGGTGCAAGCAATTGCGTGTTGTGGGTTCATATTCTGCATGTACAGTTTAGGATTCTAAACTGCATTTGGGAGCGTGTGGTTTTCCATGTCCAATCAGTAAGCACTAATTATTATAACTTTGGGAAGATTAAATATTTGTGTAATCACATGAATTACTAGCGGTGACATGGCAGTTATGCAGGGCCGGCTCCAGGGTTTTGGCCGCCCCAAGCAGCCAAACAAAAAACAAAAAAAAACAAAAAAAAAGCCGTGATCGCGATCTGTGGCGGCAATTCGGCGGGAGGTCCTTCGCTCTGAACAGGAGTGAGGGACCGTCTGCCGAATTGCTGCCGCACAGCTGGACGTGCCGCCCCTCTCAGAACTGGCTGCCCCAAGCACCTGCTTGGTAAGCTGGTGCCTGGAGCCGGCCCTGCAGTTATGATTTATTACTTCTATTGTGGCAGCACCCAAAGGACTCAGTCAGGATCATGATTCTTGAGCTACGGACTATTCAAATGCATAGGTAGGCATGCCCAGTACCCCAAAGAGCTTACAGTCTAACTCAGGGGTGGGCAAACTATGGCCCACAGGCCGCATCTGGCCCATCAGATCTTTTAATCCGGCCCTCGAGCTCCCACCGGGGAGTGGGGTGGGGAGTGATGCGTTCCCCGCTCTGGTGCTCCAGCCGGGGTGCGGGGTCAGGGGCTTGCCTTGCTCCACTCCGTGCGTTCGGCAGCTTCGCACAGCTCCTGGAAGCAGGGACAGCCAGGGGGTTCCGGGAACCAAGGCCAATGGGAGCTGCGGGGGTGGTGCCTGCGAATGAGGCAACGCAGTGTGGCCCCACCTCCTCATGGGAGCCGGAGGCAGGCTGGGCCATTGTTTCCAGGAGCCACTTCAGGTAAGGGCTGCCCGGATCCTGCCCCCCTGAGGCCTGCCCCCCCCCCCCCCGCGGCCTAACCGCCTGCCCCAACTCTGATCGCCCTCCAAACTCTTTGATCCCAGCCTGAAGTCCCCTCCTGCACCCTAAACCCCTCATCCCCAGCCCCACCCCAGAGTCTGCACCCCTAGCCGGAGCCCTCATCCCCCCTATGTGCCCCAATCCCCTGCCCCAGCCAGCCCTCCATACAATTTCCATATCGAGATGTGGCCCTGAGGCCAAAAAGTTTGCCCACCCCTGGTCTAAGTTAAGACAGCATGTAACACCTGCATGCAACAAATACAGGAGGGAAGGAGGATGAGGGGAGCAGTAATAAGTATGTATGGTTACATAGACCAGCTGTGTGCACAGCTTGATGGTTCTGAATCCATTAAAACTGGTTGGTTTGTTTTGGGGGGAGGCTCTTGGCTACTTGATTACTATTTTTCCAAATACAAATAATTTGAAAAGCTCTACATCTGTGAATAAATGGAATCCAAAATGTTCCCTAGTTGTTTTCATTGTATAGTAGAAATATTTCCAAAGCTAATGAGAGAACTAGCAAAATCCACAAAACTAATTCTTCATGCAAGGAATGTTTTCTCCCCTAAAACTTATTATCTTGCTGGATTTCTTATAAATGAGTAATTCAGACTTTAATTAATCTGTTTTAGAATGAAGCAGGAGCCAAATGGTCTGCATTCTATGATGAAGCATCCAACAATGCCAGCAAGTATGCAATAGATAAAATTACGGATCCTATTGTCAAACTCCAACTTCAGTCTCTTCAGGACAAAGGAACATCAGTGCTATCTGGGGAAAAATACAGTGAAGTAAGTTGCTAAATGTATGAAGACTGTCCAAAGAGTTGAAATGCATTTCAAAATGTCTCTGGCAGTGGTTACAATATTATTCTTAGTCATTGTTTATCCCAGCAACATATTAAATCCCAACAGTGTTGTCTTGTTGTGAATCATATAGCTTTTATTAGCTAATATTACATATGCGCACATTTAATTTATTGCTAGTTTATATTGTGCATTAAATATCTACACGTTTAGAACATTACATGAACTCATTGAATACCCAGATCCTTCAGCATATGTTACATACAATTAAGCAACACGCATGTGTCTGTATAGCATAGTCAATGGGACTGCTCACATAAGAAAAATTATATACACGCTTATGTGCTTTGTAGGGTCAGGATCTTGGGGAATAAGTAGAAACACAAACAAAAAGGCATTCAATGAAATTCAAAGGTGGCAAATTTACAACTAAGACAAGGAAATAATTGTTCAGATGTGTAATTACCACAGAAAGTGGTTGAGGCCAAAAATCTAGCAAGATTCAAAATGGGACTGGGCATTTATATGGATATCAAGACTATCCAGAGTTATGACTAATGGCTATACACATATCAGAAGGGATATTGAACCTTGTGCTTCAGGGCTTAAGCCAGTCTCTAACTATTGGAGATCAAGATGAGACCTAATGTGGAGGCAGATTATCCTACATCTGTCTACTGTGGGGTTCTTACATCTTCCTCTGAGGCATCTAATGCTGGCCCTTGTCAGAGACAGGATGGAACTTGGGTCTGATCCAGTCTGGCAATTCCTGTGTTCAGAAAAGAGTAGATTGTCTGTGAGCAATTCGAAATGGTTCAGGCATATATTTTGTGTAATTGTAGTGTTGCAGTGGCATTGTGGTTGTGAGTGATAAGGCATTTCCATCTTTATCCTCTATTTTTAGGCACTTATAGCTTTCCAGAAGAAAGGCTGAAATTGTTAATGCTGGTTCTCAGCTCAAAGGCAACTTTCTGTACTGTTTGACAGAACTTCATTTGTATATTTTTAAATTTTCTGATTGTGACACCGCCCCCCCCCCACCACACACACAATCATTTTTCATGCTTACAGAAATTGCTCAAACATGTTTTTTTTCCCTCTTGGATAGCTCAGAATAGCTCTGGTACAAAATATCAAAGCTAGCAGGTTGTGAATTGGGGCTATGTCTGTACAGCTTATGAATTCTGGTTGATATTATGAAGTTGTATTATGAAAAATTGTGATATCATTTGTGCCTATATGTATGTGGATCCACTATTGCTGACAGGGCCTGTAGCAGATAGAAATAATAGAAGGTGCTTACCAAGGGAGAGCTGCTAGGTGTGCTCACTACGGGGGGCAATGAGGAAAAGAGATTTCAAAAATATGTTGGAGATTTCAAAGGGGGGAAGTCCTCCAGTCTCTGTGATCTTTAGGCAGTGGAGTTTACAATTGTGTCCAGAGCCATCACTGTTAGAGGGAATTGGGCATTATGAAACAGCTAGTGGAGGACTGTTAAGGTTGACACTGGTCATACAGTGTCTACACTCACCCTGTGTTGACCTCAGCAGGTGAACCATGATTTCATGCCATTCGGTGAGGTGGTTTTATTGTGTTGCCGTAGTGGGGAACTTACGTTGGCTGGAGACAAATCTGAGACACATACACATATAGGTCAACACAGGGTGACTTATGTTGACCTAACTTTGTAGTGTGGATCAGGCCTAAGGCTCAGTGATTCTATTCAGATGCAATCATCTGGGACAATGGATGAGTGGCAGCCTTAGGAAACCAGTTTAGCTGACTCCTCTGATGTGGGGTGTGATAAAGTAGAAGCAGTGGAAAGTTACCAGGAGGAGAACAAAGGCAATCAGGTGACTGGGAAAAGTTTAAATAAGAAATTCCCAGGAAGGTTCAAGAGTCAGGAAAAGGAAGCATGGGGCATGAAAGAGGAAGGTCACAGAAGCTAGGTAAGGGGCTCCAGGAGAGAGAGAGACTACCAATCATGTAACAGCATTCAGGAGACAGAAGTCACCCTTCCTGCCTTCCTGGAACCAGATGGTCCCCAAGGACTCCCAAGGGAAGTGTGTTATAGGAAGGGGCATGCCTTTAGGCTTAACTGTTTTGTGTGATCTGTATTCTCCTCTGCTTTACATGATTAAGTATAAAAGAGCATTAAGGTGTTAGACTCTGTGCAAAGTTTGTGTGTGTGTGTTGACTGCTTCACAACTGCTGTGTGCCCCTGAAAGAGTTAAACTGTAACCAGAAGCTTCACACTTTGGGGTGGAGTTCCGAGAGAGGGTGTGCTTGAGTAACTGGGGTATCTTGCAGGTCAGTGCTGATTCTGGAGGACAAGGGCAGGTGGGATGAGGAGCTGGGGTTCTGAGAAGGGGTAACAGACTGAGGGTTGGTGACCAGGAATTGTGACAAACAGGACAAGGGAGGAAACAGTGCTGCAATCTGCTAAGGCTCCAGAAGCTTAACACGCTCTAGGGGATCGAGAGTAGAAGAAGCTGTGGATTCCTCTCACAGCAATCCTCGGGAGTGAGTGTGAAGTGGCATTTGCTAGGACATGTGACAGCAGGTATATAGTCCTCAATGAGAGAATATGCTTTACTTGACACTGGAAAAGTTGAGGATAGTTGAGAGAGAAAGAAAGAAGTTAACGATAGATAAGTGAAAAGAGAATGCTCTGTAGCACCACTGGTGAGGCTAAGATGGAGCTGAATATTTTGAGATGCATTTGGCCTTCAGCTGAACCAAGACATAAAAATTAACTTCTGTGTAAATCCACAGCAAACAGATCAACACAATCTGCCTTATGTATAATTAAAAAATACAACCAACAATCAACCTGTCTGTATCTGGAAAAGGGACCTTTTCCCCTCCATTAAAACGCGTGTACTGTATACTTACCTAGAAACCCTTGGCATGGATGCCATATACATAAAATGTATTGTTAATCTTTATGATAATGATGATGTATTTGAAGGGTTTTGTGGAATCACTTAATATCCACTCAAAAGATATTACATTATCTGTCTTGTCCAAGTAGCTCCAACTTAGCAAAGCATTTAAGCGCATGCTTAAATTCATTTTTACTCAGGTACAGTGCTTAAGCACATGTTAAACTGCCTTGCTGATAGGGATAAGCTGCTGTACTGAGATTTTAAGGACTAACAGTTATGGAATAGTCATTTTGTATTTATTGCGTTTTCTTTTTTAATGGGCTTTTTTGTATTTAAATTGCAGCTGAAAACTATTTTAAGTACAATGAGCACCATCTACAGCACCGGGACCGTGTGTAAACCTGATGATCCATTTAACTGCTTGCCGCTGGAGCCAGGTACAGTATAAACAATGTCTGTCCTGTGCCCTTTACGTTAACAGGTTTCAAGAAGAGTGGAACAAAGCAGAGAGGAGGTTTTTAATTGTGAAAGATCAAATTTTAGGTTTAATAGATCTGCGTTCTCCAAATGCTTTTGTTTTATAAAGCTTATTTGTTGTTGGTGGTGGTGGTGGTGGTGTGGTTTTTATCTCCCAGTACAATTTTGCTGTGACTTTTCACACATGGAAATAATTTAGTGAAATAGCATGAGCTGCAGAGTTCATGGTCCTCCATCTGGCTTGCTCAAAATTACATGCCCCATTTCAAATGATGTAGGTTTGGATGGCCAAAACTTGGCTGCCGCTTCTAAAGTTGCAGAGTAGTCTATGCTAGCTTTACATCACTTGGGGGTTCTGCCATACTGGGTGAGTTTTGTCAAATTCTATCAAAAGAGATAGAAGTTCTGTTGGCAGACTTCAAGCCAGATTCTGATTTCTATTACATTGGTGTAAGTCCAGAAAACTGCACTAACTTCAGTGAAATTAATCTAGAGTCACACTTTTTTTTTAACTAAATCACAAATTGCCCGCATATCTCGGGGCAGAAAAGCCAGGGCAGAAAAGTTGAAATGGAAACAAATGAAACATTTCCTTCAATAAACCAAAACTTTCAGCTACAGCATCACTGGTTTTACCCAAAATGTGCATTCAGCTATTTTCATTATTCCTTGTTTTCCTGTTGTTTTTTAATGTAGAATGACAAGTACTTAAAGAATTCATCTTTTATTTATGGCTCTGGTTCTTTTTTTAAAATGATGACAGGTCTAGATGCTATTATGGCTAGCAGCATTGATTACTCTGAGAGACTGTGGGCGTGGCAAGGCTGGAGAGCTGAAATTGGCAAGAAGATGAGACCGTTATATGAAGGTTATGTTGAGTTGGAAAATGAGGCTGCAAGACTTAATAGTAAGTTACAATTGCAATTATTTTGTCCTTCAGAAGTACAGAGGGCCTGATTCTCCACAGCCTTTCATACCTTGTGCAGTCATTTGTGTCCAAGCAAAGCCAGGATCTTCCCCGAATCGGTGGGTAGCCTTGTGCACACACTTTGAACTCACTTTATACATGTGTAATCTGCAAAGGCCTGGTCTAAATTTAAAAGTTGATTAACATAGATATGTCCTGTCACGGTGTGAAAAATCCACATACCTGATCAATGTAGCTATGCCAACCCCACCCCCCAGTATAGACACAGCTGTGTCAATGGAAGAACGCTTTGGTTGACATGTCTGCCTACCACCAACAGAAAAAACCCTTGTGTCAGCGTAGGCTGTGTCTACACCAGGGAGCCATGCTGGCATAGCTCCGGTGATATACCTATGCTGGTATAGTCTCTGTAGTATAGACATACGTCAAGGTTTTTGATTTCAAATGGGCGCGCTTTGAGAAATTACGGGAGCTAGTTAGTGAAGTCAACTGGACAGAAGAGCTCAGGGCAGGGGTGGGCAAACTTTTTGGCTCGAGGGCCACATCGGGGTTGCGAAACTGTATGGAGGGCCGGGCAGGGAAGGCTGTGCCTCCCCAAACAGCCTGGCCCCCGCCCCCTATCCACCCCCTCCCACTTCCCGCACCCTGACTGCCCCCCTCAGAACCCTCAACCCATCCAACCCCCCCTGCTCCTTGTCCCCTGACCGCCCCCTCCCGGAACTGCCCCCCGGGATGCCGCTCCCTATCTCCCCCCCCATTCCCTGACTGCCCCAACCCCTATCCACACCCCCGCCCCCTGACAGGCCCACCTGGGACTCCCACGCTTATCTAACCCCCCCGTTCCCCATCCCCTGACCGCACACCTCCCGCGAACCTCCACCCCATCCAACCGCCCCTCTGACTGCCCCTTGGGACCTCCCACCCCTAACCGCACCCCGGGACCCCACCCCCTATCCAACCGCCCCTGCTCCCTGTCCCCTGACTGCCCCCGGACTCCCTGACCCTTATCCAACCCCCCCGCTCCCCGCCCCCTTACCATGCCTCTCAGGAAAGCCTGGGAGGTGGGCGGGCACAAGCCGTCCAGCCCGGCAGGAGCAGCAGGCCAGAGCACTCCCCGTGTGGCTGCAGGGGAGGAGGGAAAGCAGGAGAGGGGCTGGGGGCTAGCCTCCCCAGCCAGGAGCTCAGGGGCCAGGCAGGATGGTCCCACGGGCCGTAGTTTGCCCACCTCTGGCTCAGGGATTTAAAAGCGGGGGCAGCTTGGAATTTCTTTAAGTCAGAGGTGCAAAAACTATGTGGAATTTGCATCCCAAGCAAGGGGAAATAACTAGTAACAAAGGGCTGCAAACCTAACGAGATGAATAACCACCTCAGAAAGGATATTCGTGGTAATTAGAGAACCTACAAAGAATGGAAGATGGGATTGATCAGCAAAGAAAGCTATGTCTCAGAGGTCAGAAAGTGTAAGGATAAAGAGAGAACTGCCAAAAAGCCAAGCTGAGTTAGATCATGCAAAGGAAATTAAAACAATTAGTAAAAAGTTTTTTAACTGTATAAATAAAAGAACAGGAAAAGAAGTGAGGCCACTTTGCTTTCAGGATGGGGTAGAGGCTAAGGATAATCTACGTGTGTCCCAACAACTCACAGCTCAGTTTTCCATAAGGATGATAAAGTAGAACAATGGTAGGATGGCTAATGGGAATGAGTGTACAAAAATGGAAATTACCACCTCTGAAGTGGTAGCAAAACCCAGAGCTTAATGCTCTCAAATCAGGGAGACTAGATAATGGAAGTAAACAGAAAAAGGGATCAAATGCAACGTGGGTTTACCAAAGGTAGATCATGTCAGACTAATCTGGTATTTTTGATAAAATAACTAGGAACTGGCTAAAGGGGAGACAACAAGTTGTACTGAAAGGAGAGCTACCAGGCTAAAGGACAGTTACTAATGAAGTTACTTCAGGATCTGTCTTGGGGCTGAGAGCCTATCTCATGAGGGGCGATTAAAAAAGCTTTGTTTGTTTAGGCTGGAAAAACAAAGGCTGAGGGGAGGATAGGATTTCTGTCTAAAAATGCATCAGGGCAGTAAACACCTGGGAGGGTTGAAAAGCTGTTTAAGTTAAAGGACAATGTTGGCACAAGAACAAGTAGGTATAAACTGGCTATGAATAAATTTAGGCTGGAAATTAGAAAAAGGTTTCTAACCATCGGAGGAGTGAGGTTCTGGAACAGCCTCTCAAATGGAGTAGTAGGGGCAAACAACCTAATTAGATTTTAAGATGGATCTTGATAATTTTATGAATGGGATTACATGATGGCATTGCCTGCAGTAGCAGGGACTGGACTTGATGACCCAGGAGGTCCTTTGCAGTCTGACAGCCCATGTTCCTATGTGACTAACTGTATGAGGTGCAAGGCAGTGGAGAATCAGGCCAGTGATCAGACCAGATACATTTCACACGTCTTACACCATAATGACGAGGTCTGTCTTTGTCGGCATTTTATCTCACTCCCATAACACCACATTATCTTTCACTACCTGAAATTAAAACATTGCCCATCCCTGGGCTGCACTGTATTTCACGGCCTCTCAGTCACAGCTGAGTGGATAACTGTGGACGTGGCTAAGTCTTTTTGTATCCATTGAGTTGTATCTTGTTGTATCAGATGGAAGAACGCATGTGGTGTTAGACTTTTATATATTATGTTCCATGAATGATCACATTTTCTAGGATTATGTTGGCAGAGAAGGCAATAGGTGGAGGAGGCAGGCCAATAATTTGCCTAGGTGAGGTGCAGATGCAGCTATTATCTGAGCATTTGAAGGAATTTTTAATTTAAGGCACAAAAGATTATGCAGTGTAATGCTTTTCAGAGGAGATCTTCTTCCCACCAATCAGAGAGGATCATCCTCTCAAGAAACAGCAGCCTGGATTAGTTGTTTTTATCCTGAGAGCTTCTATGATAGATCATACCATAGCATATAAATAACACCTAGCAAGGTGTAGCTACATCATAAGAACATAAGAACGGCCATACTGGGTCAGACCAAAAGACCATCTAGCCCCGTATCCTGTCTTCCGACAGTGGCCAATGCCAACTGTCCCAGAGGGAATGAACAGAACAGGTAATCATCAAGTGATCCATCCCCTGTCACTCATTCCCACTTTCTGGCAAGCAGAGGCAAGAGACGCCATCCCTGCCCATTCTGGCTAATAGCCATTGATGAACCTATCCTCTGTGAATTTATCTAGTTCTTTTTTGAACCCTGTTATAGTCTTGGCCTTCACAACATTCTCTGGCAAAGAGTTCCAAAGGTTGACTGTGTGTTGTGTGAAGAAATACTTCCTTTTGTTTGTTTTAAACCTTCTGCCTATTAATTTCATTTGGTGCCCCCTAGTTCTTGTGTTATGAGAAGGAGTAAATAACACTTCCTTATTTACTTTCTCCACACCAGTCACAATTTTAGAGACCTCTATCATATTGCCCCTTAGTCGTCTCTTTTCCAAGCTGAAAATTCCCAGTCTTATTAATCTCTCTTCATATGGAAGCTGTTCCATACCCCTAATCATTTTTGTTGTCCTTTTCTGAAACTTTTCCAGTTCCAATCATCTCTCTCCCCATGCAACCATACCTCTACCTATCTACTTTCCTGTATTTTATACTTACTCAAAAAAATCTAACCAGAGGCAGTGCCAAAGCATGGAAAATTTAAGTCCAAATGGTAAAAGTTTGTCAAAATTACAAGCAATTGAAAAGGGAAGGTTGTAATGAAAAGTGTCAAGGCAACTTTAACTAGAGGCCTCGCTGTCAGCTCTCCCAATATTAGAGAGGGCCCAGACAGTGGGCTTTAAACATGAACCATCCCCTCCCCAACAAATTTCATGGAGGGGAGGTTGAATTTGAATCCCAGGATCTGAGCTTGCCCCTGTAGTTGTACTCTTGAGGTAGATTCAAAACTAGAAAGGGCTTTTTTCCTATGTCTAGTTTGGCAGCAGCCTGCCCTGCATATGTTTTATGAGAACGATTTGTGAGATTTCATTGTCACTGAACCTGAACCCAAGTCTTCATTCTCCATTGACCTCTAATCTAATGAAGAACTCCAGCCTAATCTGTCTCTTCATTCTGACTCTCTGATTAGTATGAATCATAGATAGACCTACAAACAGTTGCTGCAATTTCTGTTTCTGCTGTCCATGGAGACCTGGACTATCTAAACTGCAGTGGACCAGAGCTTCCTCCCTCCCACCATCTCAGAGGACACATGCCTTCAGTTCCAATACTAGTAACTTCATCTCTTCCCTTATAGGGAGAGATTGTTTAAATTTCAGGCTGGACTCTGGTCTCAGTATGAGCATGACTTTGTTTTACAGAGTATTCTGACTATGGAGATTACTGGAGAGGAAATTATGAAGTAGATGATTCCACAGAATATGCCTACAGCCGTAATCAGCTGATTGAAGATGTGGAAACAACATTTGAGCAGGTAGTGATTCAGGGTCAAGTTGTGGGAGTTTTCTTAACCACTGTTCTGTAGTTTCATTTTGTCATTTCTACACTGGTTAGTAATTTGTGAAAGTTTTGTGACTTAAACTGCCATACTATGGGGAAATAGTACAACTCTGCCTAGCCCACTGGCCTTGGGTAATGTAGGCTCCACAAACCATAATCAGGTGGTTTTGTTCATAACATTTATTGCTCTCACAGTCCTTTCAGTTTCACCTGGAGCTTCACATTCTCATGAACTTAAAGACTTCAAAGCAAACCTGGGGCAAGCGCAAATGGAACTTGCAGGTTTCATAGGAACCTGGACACTTTTCTGGAATGCTCTTCTCCCTTTGCTCAACAGGGCCTGAATTTGTTACAAAGCCTATATATTTATCTAGTCTTTTAGGGGCAAATTTAGCTCCCTCCGTCACAACCATAGAAGGTACCCTTTACAGTGGAACTGGTGCAAAAGATACAGCAGTGTGCAGGAGGTAGGAGAATGAGGGGTGTGACTATATGTTATGCAGCTTCTTACATCCTTCTCCTGTGTGGGGGTTATGTGAATCCCCACAGAGAGCATTCTGCCATGGGACTGTAGTGACATCCATTGAGTGGCTCCATAGCTATTCCATGGCTTAGGGATAGATATGCCTCCCTCCCTTGCATCTGTGCAGTGCTATTAGGGCCTTACTGAGTGAAAACTGGATTACAGTAGCATTTTGTCTCCAAGCTCTCATATGCAATTTAATGATGGGAATATGGTTGCCAGAGTCCTGTTAGCCAGCTGTTTCCTCTGGTAACACCCCAGTACCACAATGAGGTCAGGATAGGGTGACCAGACGTCCCAATAAAATCGGGACCATCCCGATATTTCGGTGTCTGTCTCGCGTTCCAACCGATCTTTTGTCGGGACGTATTTTGTCCCGATATCCGCCGCCAGCACTGTGTTGTTGTTGTTTTTTTTTTGCTCTGCTGGCGGGCACCTCCTCCCCCCGTGTCCTGATATTTTCTTCCCCTCATCTGGTCACCCTAGGTCAAGATGGTCTTTACAAAGGACCCTGTAAAAGTCACCAAATTCATTCTCGAACTTCATGGCCTGATATCAATATTGTGGGACAAGACGACAACTGGATTGCAAATTTCAGAATGTATTCACATGACATTGTGTACGTACACCTAGGACATTGGACAGGTGCATGATAATACAATAAGCAATATCCAGTTGGTTGAATCTTAGAGGCTCTGCATTTCCAGATGGTGGCTTAGACAAATTAATGGCTCTGTGATCTATCCCCCCTTTTTTTTTTCAGATAAAACCTTTATATCGGGAGCTACATGCTTATGTGAGGTACAGGCTGGAGAATGTCTATGGCTCAGACCGCATCAGTTCAACAGGATGTCTTCCTGCTCATTTACTCGGTATGAAAAAGCAACTGTATTATACAAGCTTGATTTCATAGACACTTACTGCTGTGGGAGCAGGACAGTGCCATTTAAGACATAAATATTAAGACATTAAACTCATGTGAATCCAGATTCTTGATATAATTTTGGGCCCCATTGCACTAGGTGGTGTACAAACACACAGTGAGAAAGACAGTCCCTGCCCTGCAGAGGTTACAATCTAGATCAGTGGTTCCCAAACTGGGGTTCGTGAACCCCTGGGGGTTCACGAAATGTTACAGGGGGTTCTCAGGGAAAAATTCCCTAATGGCGGACAGAGCTGTGCCTAGGGACCCCAGGCAGCATGGAGCCAGCAGCCCAGAGCCCCTGGACTTCCAAGAGCTAAGCAGATCAAAGCAAACATATCTATCATACTGAGGAGATTTCAACTTCAAGACTCCTTATAAGAAATGGAAAGGGAGGTGGATATTTTTTGCTGTTTTTTAAATTAAATAGGCAGCTAGTATTGTTTTTAAAATTATTATGAAGAACAAGTTTAAGCTTTCTTGTAATGTGCGTTGTTTGCCTGGACTGCTCAAGCCCTGAATGCTTGTGTAGGAGGAACTCTGAGTTGGCTTCTTAAATATCTTCATGCTGTTTCACATCTGATACTCCTTGATGAAACATAGGAGCCTTGTCTTATAACAGGCTTATTCAAAGTGATACAAGCTACGAAAGTGAGATCCTGGAAGAATGTTGCCATTTTCATAATGTAATAAAAATACTGTAATGATAAATAATTAATAATAGTTTGTAATAAGCATGTCATAAAAACAAATTTTATATTTCCAAGATCACTGCTGTTATAATTTATACTCAGGTAAAGAAGAAATACCTTAGGGTTGGGAGGGATAGCTCAGTGGTTTGAACATTGGCCTGCTAAACCCAGGGTTGTGAGTTCAATCTTTGAGGGGGCCACTTAGGGATCTGGGGCAAAAATCAGTATTTGGTCCTGCTAGTGAAGGCAGGGGGCTGAACTTGATGACCTTTCAAGGTCCCTTCCAGTTCTATGAGATAGGTATATCTCAATATTACCTAGAAATATTCATTTTTAGGAGGGGGTTCACAAGACTTGACATTTTATTGAAAGGGGTTCACAGGTTGTTAAAGTTTGGGAACCACTGATCTAGATAGACAAGACAGAGAAAGGGTGTGGGGAAACAGAGGCATAGAGAATTGAAGCAATTTGCCAAAGCTCATACAGCTGGTGAGAGGCAGAGGTAGGACTAGAACCCAGGGTCCCTATCTTCCAATCCAGTGCCCTTTCCATTAGACCACATTGCCTCCCAAAAATGGCACTATATAATGTAGCCAACTTAACATCATTAAAGGAAATTAGGTCAAGATTCTCAGAAATGGGTATCTTAACCTAAACTACTAAACTCTTACTTAGGAACATAATTTTAGGCACGTATTTTTTGAAAATCTTGACCTTAACTGTAACATTCTTATTTTAACTGTGCCACCTTTATGTTGCATTAATATAATATATACATTTAGCCATATATGAATAGCAGTTAATGAAAATAATCAATCGTAGTATTACACATAGAAATGCAGGGGATGTTCAGTTGTTTCAATTTTGAATGGTCCTGAAGCTGTATGGTAAGAGGTAGTTTATCTCAGGGAATGACGATGTTTGCTTTTCATTGAAGAAATTAGCACCTTTGAGGTTGAAATAATTTTGGTATGGCAAATAAAACTATTTTTTTTACATATTTTCTAAAATATTCTACTTGTGATATCATTATATTAAATATATCCTGTCTATGTCTATCCATCTGTTGTCTCATACTTAGATTTTAAGCTCTTGGAACAGGGACCATTGTGTTCTGTCTTTGTACATCCATGACTGGGGCTCCTAGGAGCTAACATAATAATCATAATAATGTGCCTGATGCAAAGCCCATTAACATTAATGTAAGGACTCCCATTCGTTCCAATGGGCTTTGCATCAGGCCCTAGCTTACATGTGTGAAAATCCTTACACCTGTTATGATACAAACCCAACATTCTGGTGATGACTTTGAGCATGGCAGATAGTATGCTATTTAATTAATTTGTAACTTTCCCTTCTCTGTTGAAGGTGACATGTGGGGTAGATTTTGGACTAATTTGTATGCCTGGACAGTCCCCTATCCAAACAAACCAAACATTGATGTAACGTCTGAAATGGTTAAAAAGGTAAGACTTCTAATGAGATGTCAAGCAGCAATTGGCTGCATTGCAAATATGGTTTTGCTGTGATTCTCATGGTTCTTTAAATGACGTTTTTTGGTAGTATATTAAATGGAATACTTCAGCCATCCCCCTGGAAACCAGGGCTGGCCTTAGGTATAGTCATGCTTCAGGCACAGAATTATTTACTACACTCCCTTTTATTGTTTCCTTTACTCTTCCCCTGTGTTTATCCATTCACTTCCCATCTGTTCCCCTCTCCCTCCCTATTCCCTTCCCTGTCTCTCTCTCTCTCCATCCTCTTCCACTGTCTAGTCTCAGCTCCAACTCCCTTTCCCTCTTCTGCATCTGTTCCACAAGATATGTTTTGTGTATAAAAATCCCAGTAAATAAAATCCCACCTAAGAAATCATTGCACTAACAAGACGTTTGCCCTGGTCAATCTGCTTATGTGTTGTATCCTTTTTCCCAACTCTGCCAGTCTTGTGTCTTTCGACTGTAAGCTGTAAGGACAGTGACTGTCTCTTCTGTGTTGTACAGTGCCTAGCACAATAAGGCCCTGAACCTGGTAGGGGCCTCGAGGCGTAATAACAACACCAATAATAATGTTCTGTGATGTTTAGTCAAATGTTTGTAGATTTGCCTGAATTTCATTCATTTTACAAAAACAATCAGGAGAGCTTAATACTTAACATTTAACTATTTATCCTAAATATACCCACTTCTTGGATAGGAAGCTCCACTAATATGGCCCCATTGCCAGAGTACCTGAACCCAATCTTTAATGGATTTATCCTCACAACACTCCTGGTAAGGTAGGGAAGTTCTGTTATCCCCATTTTACAGGTGGGGAATTTAGGCACAGGGAGACTAGGGGTTTATCTACACAGTGAAGCCTAGTGTGCAGTAAGCTAGGTGTGGATTTACAACTCCTCACTAACTCCCCAGGTGGACACTCTTACTGCACATTGCTAGTGAGGACGCACTCCACCGACACAATGAGCATGGTGTGGACATGCAAGATCGATTTCCTTAATTTGGAGGCTCGATATCGACTTACAGAAATATGTCGACTTAACTTTGTAGTGTAGACATGGCCTAAGAGTGCCCTCAGGTGGCTTAGCTTAGTACACTTGCAAAGTGCATTAAGCTAATGTGGACAAAGGCAGTCTTAGTACGCAGTAAGAGTATCCACACTGGGAATTAGTGCAGAAGAGCTAGTGCACGCCAGCTCTTGTGAGCTTTCCACTCCCCCTCCTCCCATGTAGACAAGCCCTAAGTGACTTGCCCAATGTCACCCAGATGTCTATAGCAGAGAAGGGAATTGAATCCAGATCATCTGTGTCTCAGGCTAACACCCTCACTGGACTTTCCTACCCCCCTAATTTTAAAGCCTCTAACTTTATGGCTTTACTCAAAGTCAGGCTAATAAAGAGCTCCCCCTATTTAGAATAAGTAAAATTGTGGAATGAAATTCAAATGAAGGTTTTTAAACTAACTTTCAAGTACAGTTACGATCAGATAAGGGACTCTAAAATCAAACCCTTTTTTACTCAGCTCTGCTGTCTGTTTGTATTCTGAGTTACAGATTCAATTTCCCTTTCACCTGGTTTTACAACACTGCCACTCCACTGCCTTCAACAAGTTACTCCTGACTTACACCACTGAGAGGGGAGAATTGGACCCTATATCTGTGTACATTACTGACAAAAACTAAGTTTTTACTACTTTTCACACCTGTTAATGCTTTTCTGTTCTGGCTCATGCATTATCAATAGGCTAGCTTTGCCTGCGGAAACCTGATTATTGATGGTGATCCATGAGCCAGCTTGACTCAGCTCCCGTAGTGAGTTTTCAGGACTGGCAGTAAGCTACCCACTTATTTGCAAACTGTAAGACTTTGATTTGAAGCCATTGAGATACAACAAGTATGGGGACTGTGATGCTGTTTTTCAGAGTCATTTTTCAGAATAGAATCTGTTCTACTGGACTGTGAGAAATATCTAGCCATAGAATGACTGGCTAATATTATAAGTGAATTCTCATTGTCTGTTTCAGAATTGGGATGCAACAAAAATATTTAAGGCTGCTGAGGATTTTTTCATCTCTGTTGGCCTCTATGAAATGACTGAAGGCTTCTGGAACAATTCTATGATTACAGAGCCTAACGATGGCAGAAAGGTTGTTTGCCATCCTACAGCTTGGGATATGGGAAAAAAGGATTATAGGTACTGTAACGTTTGTAACTCTTTCCGATGGGTACTCATAGAATCTTCACATTTCTCTTCAAAGATGTAAAAGGTTGTTGTGAAAAAGGCGGTGATCTCTTGTTCTCCAGGTCTAATAAGGTTAGGACAAACAGTAATTGGCTTAGTTTGTAGCAAGAGAGATTTAGGTTAGATAAGAGGAAAAAACTTTCCAACTAGAAGTGTGGTTAAGTACTAGCATAGGTTATCAAGGGAGGTTGTGGAATCCCGGTCACTGGAGGTTTTTAAAACGAGATTAGACAAATGCTTGTCAGGGATGATCTAGGTATACTTGGTCCTGCCTCTGCACAGGGGGCTAGACCAGGTGACCTCTTGCAGTCCTCTCCAGCTTTACATTTCTATGATTCTTTGATATCTAGTCACGTGCACCAGGGCAAACTGCTATTTTAATTTTATCTTTTCCTTACTTCTCTAATATTTTTGGTAGGGGGCAGATTTAGGGTGGTTAGGGGAATCTAAACTGGATTTTGTAACGTTTTTCTGTAAAATCAATGGGCTACTCTCTTCTATTAAACAGAGGATTGTGTTTATATTCATATAAGTTAGTGATAGAACAACTGTGTTGGGGGACATCAACAAAATTATCAAAAAAGTACAGTGCTTAGCCTGGGGCCATGTGGGCTGTAATTTAGTGAAAATTTATCCCCATGTATCTGCTTCATATTCAGTGAGAATGTGAATTTATATAGAATGAGACCCATTGAAGCAGGTTCTATCTTCCCTTGAAATTAATGGTAGTTACCAATATCCTACAAGGAGAGAATTGGATCAATGGTGGGTCACCAGATATCAGTCATTGATCTAGGGGTGAAAATTTCTAGTCCTGGACCATCTATCAATGTAATTTGGTGGCAGTGAAGGGAAGCCACATTTGAGGGGAAAGAGAATAATTTGTCTGGTGGGGTTTTATGAAATAGCAGTTGTATGAAGGTGCTCATAGGTATGAAACGTCAGGAGTAGCTTTGGGTGAGATAGATTAATGAGCAGAGTCCAGGGGAGGTGGTCCAAAATGCATGATACATTCAGCTCATCACATGCTTTCATAATTTAGCACATGGATGTCACTATATGCTGTATGTACTTTGTCCTTAAATACCACTTTATAAACATTACATAGTGAGGCCTCAATACCCACATGAGGTGAGCAGAAATCATCATCATCTCCATTTCACACATGGGGTAACAAACAGGAGTTAAATGACAGAGTTTGTGGTAGAGAGGAGATTAGAAAGCAGGTCTCTTGCCTGCTACACCTTATGTCTTATTCATAGATCATAATGGTCCCCAGGCAAATCATGTCTTAGCTACCCCAACTGTAAAATGTGGCAAATGGTGCTTATCCATCCCTATAAAGTGTTCTGAGATCAAGAGATAGAAAACTGCTGCCGTAGGTGGGTACAAAGTACCATCTACAGCAGGAAATAGAGACACAGAAAGGGTAATTAATTTGCTTGGAAGGCGCTGTGTTCAAGTGGATTATACAGAGGCTTAGCAGAGAAAGGACACCTGGGTGTAAAGATTTTGGTTCCAAACCCAACTTTCTGTGACTTGGCCATGTCCTTTAACGTCAGAGATAAGCTACCTTTTTCTAAGGCGCAAACCCTCCTGGAGCTCCCCCAGTGTTGATGTAACTCTGTGCCACACCTTACTCAGGGCTGTATGCAGTTTGCACAGTCCAGCTAGTCATAAGGGTGCAATAAAGCCTTAAATCTCCATGTAGCAGCAGAAGTGTTAATAATGCGTATTGACAAAAAATGAATGTGTTCAACATGCATCTCTACATGTCTAAACACTCAGGTTAAAAAGAGTTCTATATGCGTAGCCAATTTTTGTTAATTTCTTACTGTATTATCCATCCCACTATGTAAACTTGGCAACAGAGATTTTCCTTAATAAGCACTGTTAATGTGCCAGCTTTCAGAGTTCAGCCATTTTTTACTTCTCGGCATACAAAATGCATGGCAATATTCATTTGACCTCTGCAGAATTTAATAATAGCCAAAGGAATTTTACTTAAAACTTTCCCCCAAAATCACCTTTAGGCAGGGATCAAACATAGAACAGACCCAAAGGTGAATGTTTTAGAAAACGATGAACATGAAATACACCAGGGGGTTATTAAGTGAGTTATTTTAGCTGTTTTGCAGCCACAACTACAGCATCCAGTACCAAGCAAATGGTATAACTCTGCCAGTGTCTTTATTTAATTTTAAATGTTTTGCATTGGAATGCAGGATCAAGATGTGCACGAAAGTGAGTATGGATGACTTCTTGACAGCACATCATGAAATGGGGCATATAGAGTATGATATGGCATATTCCAACCTCTCTTATCTGCTCAGAAGTGGAGCTAACGAAGGATTTCATGAAGCAGTAGGAGAAATCATGTCACTGTCGGCAGCTACTCCAAAGCATTTGAAATCGCTTGACCTTCTAGAATCTACTTTTCAGGAAGACAATGGTAACTAATAAAAATGTATTCATGCCATATTCTGTAGCAGAGTATGAGTAAGTCTGTAAGACGAGTGAGTTACTTAGAAGCTTTTGAGAATTCCATCTCAGTTACATATCACAGTATGTTCATTTCCAAAATGACTTCATGAACCGGGAAGCGTTTATTTATAATGTGCCACTCATTTGATGCTACTGCAAGAATTTAGAATTGGTAGTTCTTCACTACCTTCGGAATTATTGAGGAAATCTTCACAGCACAGTAAGGTTAGTGGTGGTCCTTGTACTTTGTTTACATAAAGCTATGCAAATCTATATCAAAATGTAAAGGGCTGCTTTGTCCAACTTCTTCTTCACAGTTGGATTTGTCTGGCTTGTCCAGTTGAATATTACATGATGAAGATGAGCCTAAATCAAATCCCTCAATCCAAAATCCTCCAAAATTGAGATTAGGATTTGGATCCGAACTCTAAATCAACTCTCAACTAAATCTCAACTAAATAAATACAACAAAATAATGTTGCAACAAAAGCCACAGGGATTATGAATGTTTAGAAAGTAGAACTGGAGTAAAAAGAGAAAAAAATGTACAAATTTGCATAACAATATCTTCCTGGGTTTCTTTGGGTTTTTTGTGTTTCACTAAAATTTTCTAAGCAGATGTACTTATTAGCTATGTATGGTGAAGGAAGCAACATTAGTAGCCTGGTCATGTATTCATCATCACCTTAACAGTTACATTGTGCTCTTTTTTCAGAAACGGATATCAACTTCCTACTCAAACAAGCCCTCACTATTGTTGGAACAATGCCTTTTACTTACATGCTAGAGAAGTGGCGATGGATGGTATTTAGAGGTGACATTCCAAAAGATGAGTGGATGAAGAAGTGGTGGGAGATGAAGTAAGTGTGGGGAAACAGGAAGAAGAACTTTTGGGAAACAGGGTTTAAGGGATGGTTCAGTTTTCATTTTCAGGAGTACTAGAGACATCAGGGAAGTGGAGGGGAATGCCAAATTATTTAGCAAAAGTAAACAGATCTGTCTCAGTGGCACTGCAATGCTATCCACTGGTAGATGATGTTCTTGGTCTTCATACACCTGTATGGACTAAATGTCTGCAGTTTCAGAGATTTAGGTATGCTGAAATAGGTCTATCTCCATGGTACAGTTTGGGAAATCAGCTCTTCAGGAGGGAAAAAAAGGAGCTATATTTCATCTCCATTCCAAAGGCACAGCAGGCAAGAGATCTGTTTTCTAATCCCATCTCTGTCACAGACCTTTTAACTTCTCAGTGTTTCACAGTTACCCCATGTGTAAAATGGAGATAATAATGGTATTCACTTACCTCAGAGGATGTTGCTCAATATCACTAATGCACTTTCTGGGACCTGCTCCCAAGCCCATTCAGTGTAATGGGTGTCTCTCACAAGGTTCACAACTCACCTCTGTGGCACCTCCTTCTGGGGATTAGCTCATGACCAGTCTGATGCTCTCTCCTTTGGTTTCTCACCCCGGGGTATCACTCACACTCACTCTCTCTGGAGTCAGGTTACTCCCTTTTCACCACTCCGGGTGCTCCCTCTTCATAGCTTGGCCCTTTGGCCAGGTCACTATAGTCCTCCTCTTCTGGGGTATCAAAGTCCCATTGGATGGCTGTCCTAGGCAGTCTTCTGCTCCACTGCCCTGTCTGTGCCACTTCCCCAGTGGCTAGGAGGGAACCCAGGCCTGCCCATTAGCCCAGGTACTAGGCAGGGATCCTACAACCAGTGGCCAAGGATGGCACTGTCCAAAACCTTGCTGCTCTTTCCCTGGGCTGCTTCCCACTTTGCTTCTGTCAGGCTCCTTTTCCACCCTCCTTTGGGTATGCCCTTTCCTCGGGGCCCAGATCTCAGGGTTTCTATTCTCCCCCAGGTTCCTCCTTTCCTTCTCTAAGCCCAGAAAGTGACTATCTGCTTTCTCTACTGCAGCCCACCTCTTACTCTCTATTTTTTATCTTCTTTACTCTATACTTTATAGCAGCTTAGCCCCTTGCCCAGCTTGGCTTCAGCAATTAGACCTTATCAGCCCTGACTCTCTCCCAGGTGCAGCCTGTCACAGGGTTAATTGGCCCTTTCTCTCTACTAAGGCCTTGTGTGGGGCAGACACCCTATCACATACCCCCCAGGGTTACAGGCTGGAGTGGGAGGGTATGGATGCCTCTCCCCTTGGAGTTGTTGGAGCTAGTTATCTTGCTTCTGTTCTAGGTTGCCAACCATAAGGAACAGTCTACCCTTCTCCTCCATGGTGTCCTGAAACTTTTCCCTCTGGAATTCTAAGTCTTGCAAAGCCACTTGCAAGGCTTACTCTGCAGCTGTCAGCCTCTCTTGTAGCCTTTTCCCTGGCTCCTTTCTCCCCGGGTCTGAGTTCCCACTGCATTCTGGTTACTCTCCGTATTTGTCCTTATATCCTTTAACTTTGTCTTTGGCAGACTCTTTCTTCCCTCCAATTTCTTCTCACCCTCTATACTCACAGCCACCCTCTAGGCCCTCTCTACAACCTTTGTGCACTTTCTATGGGCCTCTGACTCATCCTTCCATTCCTTTCTTGATACTTTGCTCTTTTTCTGCTAGTTTCTTTTTTTGTGAAGACAGTGCCTCTGCATGTGTCCCCATTTCCCACAGACAAAACAGGTCCCTCCTTTTCCTACTTCTTCCGCAGGTGGGACTCTTTTGGGCTTTCCTGCATCCCTCCCTTCCAGGCAAGACTTCTTGTCCTGATACACACAGGGGCATTCCCTTTTCAGCTGTCCCCTCTGCCCACAGGTGTAATACACACTCTTGACCAGGCCTCTGGGCTCAGAACATTTTTTCTGTTCCCAGCCTCTTCAGCCCTAGCTCACTTCTTTCCATAGGATCTTAAATAAAGATTTTCGCTTTTCTGCCAGCTTCATTAAATACCCCTGCAGATATAACTGGGCCTTCCACTGTCTCTGCTGGTTCTGCAGGACCTGCAGAAGTAGTGCCTGGAGCCCCATGGATTGTTTTTCATCCCCTTTAAATGGGAGCAAAAACTCTGCGTCCATTTCAGGAGGGTATACAGGCCTTCTCCAAAAAAGGCCTCCACATGCAGCAGCTCCATTGTCCCTTTACTTCTTCTGTGACTGTTGTGGCCCCTCACTTTCCCCTTGTATCAGTGGTGACTGTTATGCACAGTCCCCTCATCTCAGAGGTAACCAACAAGCATAGTTTCTCACTCCACTTGTCTTAGGGATGACTATCGTGCCCACATTCGTCACCAAATTTGTCACAGGGTTTGCTACTCGTTGCTGTGGTGCCTCCTTGTGGCCCATTGGGGATTAGCTCACGACCACTCTGACACCACCTACTTCCGTTTTGCACCCAATGGTGTCTCTCTCTCTCTCTCATCAGATTACTCCCTCTTTATCACTCAGGGTATTCCTTTTTCATGGCTTGGCCCTGTGGTCAGGTCACTATAATCCTCCTTTTCTGGGAGATCAAAATCCCATTGGATGACTATCCTAGGCAGTCTTCTGCTCCACTGCCCACTCTGTGCCACTTCCCCAGTGGCTGGTAGGGGAACCCAGGCCTGCCCATTATGCCAGGTTCCAGCCCAGGGACCCTACAACCAGCGGACAAATTCTGCACTGTCCAAAACCTTGCTGCTGTTTCCCTGGGATGCTTCCTACTTCATCCCTATCAGGCTCCTTTTCAACACTCCTCTGGATATGCCCTTCCCTCAGGGCCTGGATCACAGGGCTTCAATTCATCCCCAGTTTCCTCCTTTTCCCCTCCAAGCCCAAAAGGTGACTATCAGCCTTCTCTACTGCAGCCCCCCCTCTTACTTTCTTCTTCCTGGTTTTATAGCAGTTTAGCCTGGGCTTCATCATCAATTAGAGCTTTTCAACCCTGACTCTCCCCCAGGTGCATCCTGTCACAAGGTTAATTGGCCCTTCTCTCTATTCAGGCCTTGCATGGGGTAGACACCTCATCATGGTGTCTTTGGTTCAATGGGCTATGAGTGCTGTGTGAAGCTAATTGACTGTGGAATATTTTACAACAGTGATTTTACCTTTCCTACCCCATCCGAACATAAATCCTTTGGTTTTTAATCTTTTATGTCAAAGGACCATATCCTGCTATTCATTTTGAAGCAGTGCCACCATTGACATCACTGTGAGTTTTGTGGTATTGAACTCAAAGGTAAAAAAACGTTAGCCGTGTTATAAACTCTTTCACAGTCCAACATTAAAACATAGATACTTATGTTTGGAGTTTTTTTCTACTGAAGCCTTGGTTTTACTCAGTTCCTTAGCAAACACCCAAAAGTATTCATTCTAAAGTTGAAACACATGGAAGAAGAATAAATTAAAACAAGTACTTATACTGAAAATGACATTGAGTGATATGCAAATTTAACTTAAACCTTTAAAGTTTCTCTCCATTTGGAGGCAAAATATCAGAGTCTTCTATTTGCAGAACAAATTTTCTTTGATGAAAAGGAAAGGGTTAATTTCACTTTCAGTCCTGTTGGGTAAAATGCCTCCTGTTTCTAACAAACACGCAGACACAAGGTAGAGGAGAGATGGGACAGAGAAGGTGAGGGAAATATGGCTTTTGTTGATGTCTTTGGAACACTGGAAGGCTGGTGAGTCACGAATGGATGCTTTGGCTGGCAGGCTGATCAGGGTACCTGGTGCTTGGACCGTGGTTCACATTCTGGTCAGGGACATAATCTGGTTCGGTCTTTTCTCCTTAAACAGGACAGGATCGTGGTCATCTTATCCCACTGTACTGATGCAATGCAGTTGATTTCAGGATTTGATGAAAAAATGAAAACTAAGAGATAGGATAGGAGGAAGGGGGAAAGCAACACGAGGAATGGAACAGAACAGGATCTTATGTGCCTTTGCAATGCTGGCAATTAAGTATTCCCACTGATGGGCTGAGGCCTGGATGTCATGATATGATTTCCAGGACTCACAAGTGAAAAACAAAGTTATTTGAACACTAGCAAGGCCTAGTGGCCTTCCTCTCAGGAAGGAAGTCTGGTCAGCTCCTTCTATCATGGGGTCAGAGAAGATGAGAGCAGACGAGACCAACTGGGATACAAGGTGGAAAAGGAGATGAATTTTTTTTCAAAGTCTTTTTTTAAGAAACCCCCCAAAGAGAAAAGTGAGCAGCATAGTTCATCCCCTTGTATTTTGTCCACCAATTAGGCCAAATATCCGCCACACCAATTTTAGCTCATTAATTTCAGACTACACCTCTTCTGTTTTTACAAAGCATCATTTCAATAGTCCTTGAGTGATATCAGTCGCCTCTTTTTGTTTGGACTAGTCTAGTTGCTCTGCCTGATCTTCTTGCATTTATTCATAACATTTATCATAAAAAAACCTGTTTACCATGGTTAATTTTCAAACTGGAAAAAAGTTATAGATTATTGTGACATTTTCACTCACTTCTTACATTTGAATTTCCAGTCAGGGTTAAATGTTTAGGTCCAATAATCCCATGCACAGTAGTTCCATGCACAGATCAATAGCAGTTTAGGAGCCTAGTTTATTTAGCTTTGTGATGTCTGTATTTGGAAGGTAAGGGAGATGCCAACAGTGATGACTGCTACAAACGGCAGCTGTTATGTGGAAAGGTCAGTATATTTTTTTCTCAAGAACTCGTAATGGAAATGCCTCTAATTTTTTCTTCCCCTATCCACAGGCGAGCAATAGTGGGTGTGGTTGAACCACTGCCTCATGATGAAACGTACTGTGACCCTGCTGCTCTGTTCCATGTGGCCAATGATTACTCTTTCATAAGGTATCCTTATCACCATCATTTAACTCCTAGATGACAAGCAGCTGTGTGCTAAATATTTCATTTAGAGTGTTACGGCCAAATTCTTCTTTTGGTTAGGCCCTGGCCTAAGGCCTCCTGAAGTCAATGGGAATCTTTCCACTTACTTCAATGGGCTTTGGATCAGACCTGCAGACTAGTTACATTTGTAGGGCCGGATTCTCACACGATGCAATGTGACTGGAGATGCCCAGTAGCAATTCCTTGCTGTGCAGAGGAGCTTTCTGCACAGCAGTGTAATGTTGGTGGAGATGGCTCTGTTGTTTCCTGTGCCAGCTGCCTCTCTGACCCTCACCATAAGGGGAAGGAGGAAGCACCTTGGAAGTCCTTCACTGGAGTCAGGTTCCTAAAGAACCAGTGGAACAGGCCCCTGAAGGATCAGTAGCTAGTGCCAATGACATACATTAGGGATGTCCCTGACTCAGAGAGCTGCATCTGGCTCCCTGGGGCTCCTCCATCCAATCGATCTCAGCTGGAGTGGAGAATCAGAGTCTCTGTAACCCCACTTACTCCAGCTAGGGCCCATTGTAACGGAGAGCACATCTCGGCTCTTATGCTGTGTTTGATTTTGGCATTTGAACATTATCAGGATGTTAGGCCCAGCCTGTCATTAGTGTTTTGTCTTTCTCTCCAAAGTGCCCAGTGTCACTAGCAGGAGCGGTAATCTAAATTGCGGCCCATTCCAAAGGGCAAGGCTATTTGCTGCTCCAGTGTGAGATGGGTAACACAAAGTATGGCTTTTGTTCTTTTTTTCTTTTCTTTTAGATATTACACAAGGACCATTTATCAGTTCCAGTTTCAGGAGGCACTTTGCAAGGCTGCTAACCATACAGGTCCTCTTTACACATGTGACATTACTAATTCCACGGCAGCTGGTCACAAACTGCGGTAACAAAGCACACAATTTGTTATATAAAAGGAGACTGAATATAACTGGGCCAAATTCATCCTGGCTGTAAAGCCACTTAAGTTATTGAAGCCAATGGGGTTACACCAGGGATAAACTTGGTTCTACACTAAAGTCTGTTTCCTCACCTAATTCCACTGGAGTTATGCAGATTTATACCAGCTGAGGATCTGACCCATAGGAGTTTAGTCTCCTATCAATGAGAAGGGAATTTATTTGCATTAATATGAGTGCGTACATATAATCTGTGCACAGATGGAACCTAGCAATAATTTTTGATCCTTCCATACCCAGGGACATGCTTGTCTTAGGGAGATCACAGCCCTGGACCCAGGCACTAGAAAGTATAACAGGAGAAAAAAAGATGAATGCAACACCCTTGCTCCACTACTTTGAACCCTTACATCAGTGGCTGATAAAGAACAATAGTGGCAGATCTGTTGGTTGGAACACATTCTGGACTCCATGTATGTAATGGTTTTATATGCAATTCAGAATGCTTGACAATACAACTTCTCCTTAACCCACGCCCCCTTTCTCTTTCCGCAGTTGTTGAATCTGGCAGTTGGGAGAGGCAACAGGCAAATTCTATGGCCCTGGGACCCAGCAGTTAGAGTTGTTCATGCAAAAGTGCATTGACTTCATCACTCCCAAAGCTGGAGAGTCAGCATACTCAGGGACCATGGTGGCCATCAGCCACCTGTCACAGCTTCACCTGATTCCCAGAAACTGAGCACTTGACCCTGATAATGAATTATTGACAAAGGGCACTTCAAAAAGCTTTTTTTCACTGGCAGTGCTAAAAACTCAGGACGGATAAACAGAATGAAGGGAGAATAGTGGTTTGGGTTTGTAGGTACTGATCAGTTTCAGCTCTTCAGTTATAACCATTGCTTGAGACTACTGAGCATGCTTCACATCTGCCGGGCTGGTGAGAACTCATCTAGACTTTCGGTCATCAGAGCTGGAACAGCGATCAGGCTCAGGGTGGGCAAGCCAGTTTGGAATGTTAAATGTCATCTCTCCCTGGCTCTCCATTGCTGGCCATATCAAAAAGGGTGCCCAAAAAGTGGGAGGAGGAGTAAAATGCTTTATTCAGCCCAGCATCACTACATCAAATGCTGAAGCACACGTGAGACACACACCTGTAGCCACAGTCAGGATGGGAGAATGCAGCATATCCTAGTGGCTGAGAACAGTGTTGTGTCTGATACCCTTATTAGCCCGAGGAGGGTAAAAACTATCAGTAAAACAAAATCACCTCATCGTCTCAGTTGCTATGCAGTAGCTTTATGGAAAAGACTTGCAGTTCTGATACAATGCTTCTTTTCTTTTTAAATCAGATTCTAGCAATGCAATCAAAGTGAGGATCAGTCTGAAATCAGCACTTGGGAACAATCCAGTGAGTAAATCCAGATCAGTGTATTCATTCTGTTACTATGTCATGTTTTGTTTAACAAATCATAGATCAACATGGAAATATCTAGCTGAATTCTATACAGGAGGTATTGGATGCTCTCCGTTACAAACAATATGATTGCTCTTTCTAGCAATTTGTTTGCATATTTGATGTCATTTTTCCAGGCCCTGATAAACCTTGCAAACCTCCTCACACCTTCCTCCCTGTCTATGCTCCAGCTCAGATGCCCAAATGTCCTTACTGTTATGTTTCTGGAGTGCAGTAGCTAGTAGGCAAAAAATGGTACTTCCCTCAACATTGTGCTGGAGGATTGGCTCACTGCTAACTCAGCCAATCTGCCAAGGCTGGGCATTTGGCTGCGGATTTGCTCCTCAGGCCTGGTCTACACTAACCCCCCCACTTCGGACTAAGGTATGCAAATTCAGCTACGTTAATAACGTAGCTGAATTCGAAGTACCTTAGTCCGAAGTTACCGCGGTCCAGACGCGGCAGGAAGGCTCCCCCTTCGATGCTGCGTACTCCGCTCGCCGAGCTGGAGTACCAGCGTCGACAGCGAGCACTTCCGGGATCGATCCGGGGCACTTCCGGGATTGATCCGGGATCGATTTATCGCGTCTTAACCAGACGCGATAAATCGAACTCAGAAAACCGATTGCTTACATCCGGACCCGGATGTAAGTGAAGACATACCCTTATTCTAGTTTTCCTTCTTCGTGGTACTCTCAGTGGAATAGTGCACAGACCCTTCCTTCCTGTGAAAGCTTGTCATTGCCGTCAAAGCATGAGCATTTTTCCAAGTAAAATTGGGTCATCAGGCAGGTGCTTATTGCTTATGTATCCAAACACTCAAATTTGAAATTCAGATGAAATTCAGGAACCTATTGGTCTAGGAAGGTTACACAAATATGTTATTATTTCTCACACAAACCCACACTCTTTCAGTTCTGTCACTCTCTTGCATGCAAGCCCTAGTAAAAAATTTTTTGCCTCCAGTCCCCCTGAGTTGAGTTAGATGTCATTCAGTGGTGATAGAAACACCACTAAAAGGCTCCATATTACAACACATTTATTAGCCATTATAGTTAATGGTTAACTTAACACCATTTTGTGCCTGGTTTTTGTCATCATGCTCTTGTATGGTGCAACTGAGTGGCTGTAAAACAATCTCATTTACAGTACTTAATTTGAATGACTGTAAGATATGGTCCCAAGCTGCAAAACAAGCACATAAACATTGTCCACTAAATACATTTCTGCTCTGACACTCCTTCTACACAAGTAAATGATTCTGAAACCTTGTAGTTCAGCAAGGGATCTTGGTAACACGTGTTAACTAGTGTGTAGGCATGTTGGGAAGATTCCTACATAGGACTTGCCGCAGCTCATAATGGGACACATTCAGCTGCTGTGTACTGCCCAGACATTGCAAAGCAGCCCAAATTCCAGTTTAACTGGTTGGCTATGCTGGGTTTACCACTTTTTTGCGTCACAAAATAGCTAGAGAGTGTACTAGTGAATCTGGCCTAATAAGTGCTGATTTGCAGCAGTCAAGAACATTAGGCTAATATGGAGATATATGTATCTTATAGAGCTGGAAGGGACCTTGAAAGGTCATTGAGTCCAGTCCCCCTGCCTTCACAGCAGGACCAAGTACTGTCCCTGACAGATTTTTGCCCCAGATCCCTAAGTGGCCCCCTCAAGGATTGAACTCAGAACTGTGGGTTTAGCAGGCCAATGCTCAAACCTGTATCTTACAGGTGCTTAGAAGTGGGGCTAAGTACACAGCAAACTGCCTGTATTAGACCATCTCATGGTCACAGCTGTCAGATAAGGCATCCTGTATCAAGTCAGGGACTGACTGTGCAATGGAGACAGTGTAATGTGAGCCTGGGAGTGACTATGGGCCTAATCCTGTGCCCATCAAAGTCAGTGACATCCCTGCTTTATGTCACTGAGTACAGCTTCAGGTCCCATGCTAATGCCTGGGTTAAGCCTCTAGCCATCTCCCTTGTGTACTACATGGTCCAATCCCGCAGCCAGTGTAATTTAGTGTAGCTCTGTTGAAGTCAGTGGAGCTACACTGACTTACCCTAGCCGAGAGTCTGGCTCAATAGTTCTAGAAGCCTGAACAGCCTTAGCCAGCTGTTGTACAGTGTAAAACCTCTGCTTCTTCTCTCCTGACAAACCTGACTTCTGAATCCTTTCTAAATATGACAGCAGCTATATTGTATTACACCTGACACACTGGTGCTGGTAAAAGTCCAGGAAAGATTGAGGCATTGCCTTCCAGTTATGGAAATGCTACAAAGTTAATGGAGGCACAGTGGATTTTGTGAAAAAAGTAAATTGAGAACTTCGTTGTCTGTTTACTACAGCTTATGTTAAAGAAGCAGCTTGTTTGGAACAGCACATATAACGTACATCTATTGCACTAAGCATCTGTTTAGAATGTACTGACGTCTCAGGTGACATTGATCAGGTAGAGACACTTGCAGCTTTGCTCTGGCTGTGACTTGACTTTACTAGAGTGTCTGAGAGAGAAAAAAATATATTTAAAAGACTGCCAGGACCAGTCCTTTTGAACTCAATTAATTTCTGCCAACTGTAGACAAAATATTTCATAAACCATTTAATATGAGGATCTGTCTCTTCTTTTTAAAAAACCGACTCCTTTTTAAATGTTAACCAGAACCACTCTGTCAGCATCTTCTGTGTGATCACACCATAAAAAGCTGAAACACAAACTGCTTGTAGACAACTAAGTGTATTTTAAAATGGAAATTTCTTCTAAAATTAGAGGCCAAACTTACATTTTCTCTTAAATAGCACATGAGATCTTTGTTTGAATACTTTTCTGAATGAAAACATCATAAAATAGATTTTATAAAAACAAGATAGATAATTAAAAAGCTAAAGGAACCGCTAAATAGAACTGGTCAGGAAACAGATTTTTCCATACTGTGAAATTTTTTAAGATTTCCTAAACATTCATCCTGAAAACCAAAATTTTGAATTTTTTTGCAAAATAAATTTGAAAAATAATTTATTTTCAGTCAATCAAAATGTTTTGTTTGGATAAATCTGAAATGTGGTGGTTTTGATTCTGGCCCTTTTCAATTTTTTTTTAATTTTTATAAAAATAAAGTAAATTTCAAAACAAAAAGTCATTTTGAATTACAAATTAAATCTTTTTGTTGTGAAAATGTCAAAACAGGACACTTTTTCCATTTTCAATTTTTTTTAAATTTCTAAATGAAATGTTGAAATTTATACAATATCATGCAAATAAATCAGTTTAGTTGAAACAGCATTTTGCAATGGAAAACTATTTCAACAAAAATTTTCCAACCAGCTCTACTGCCAAATATGAAAGCAGTGGTTGTGGAATCAAACTCTGTTAATACACGGGGTTCTTTTAGGGGGTGGAAAATAGATATTGTAGAGTATAAAGGGGCAAAGGATGAAAGGAAAATTAGAAAAAAGCAAATACAATGACATTATGGATTGTGGTGGTAGCTACAGGAGAAAACAATGCTAACTCCTATGAATGCTTAAGTAAAGCATTGTGTGTAGTATCAGCTAAATAATGAATGTACAAGATGCCAGTTCAGAGATAACCCATACAGCTGTATTTTTCATTAATGCTAAGGGCCAGATCCTGGGGTACTATCTTTGCATGCTCAGCACACCTCAGAAGAAGGTGTTTGTGGGCAATAGTGGCTTTAAGCCACCTTTATTGTCCCGTAGGGCCTGATCTGTAACTCACTGAAGTCAATGCAAAGACTTCATTGGCTTCAACGGACTTTGGATCAGAACATTGTCCTTCTGACTGCTGAGCACTGAGCCTGTCCCTGGAAGTAATGTAGATTCAAGTCAATGGAGCTGTGCTACACTATACTTACGGAGGAATTGGTCTACTGACTGTGTCTGAGTTTAGAAGCAGCATTTCCTTCTGCTCTAGCTGAATCCACCATTCACTTCCATGGAGCTAGGCTGACATATACCAGCCCAATGTGTCCTCCTTTTATGAAATTCACTGCAGCAGGAAATAAGAGAGTTAAAAAATGTAGCTGTATTTTTTAAATTGCTATTATATAAGGGGTATCTAGAGTTTTATACCATGCCCATGAGCCTCATATCAGGGCTGGATAATATTACCAATAATAACATTTATGGGCATGCATGCTAAGATATAAGTGTAATCAAAGCTCTGGCTTCAAGTTATAAACTGATTGCTACAGAGGTCAAAAATGAACTTTCCTTCCACGTACACCATTGCACAATTGCGTAGGATACATTCTCAGTTATTGCTGGGTTTTTCCACCTGCACAGGCAGGGGCACCTGCCAGAGATGAGCTATTTAACTTGATGCACCACTCTCTGTTTCTGTGTTCCATTGGAGTTAATATCTGACTTATCATGTAGTTTGCTATGAAATACCACATATGCTCTGCTGTTTTTGAATCACTTGTCTGGTTTGGGGCACAAAAATCAATACATACCTTATGCAGAAACATTGCTACAAAGAATTCTTAACAAGAAAAATACAAAGACAAAAACAACTGGGTCTCCTACTAAATGACCTGTTTATGTATAAAATTATATAATAGAAACCAGTGTCTAAATCATAAAGTCCTTTCCCAGACAAAACTCCCAATAACTCCAGTGGAAATACTCCTGGGCTAGGATTTGGCCTCTCGTTATTTTAAGCAAAAAAAAAAAAATATTTTCAGCTATTATGAACCCTTGTGTTGAAATGGGATAGATATTCCTGGTGCTATTTGTGGGATTCAGTTGGGACACAAAATAGCCTTAGGTGATAAATACCCTAAAATGACAGCACTTCAGATAGATGACAACACATGAAAAGATGGTCAGGTTCAGAGGAACAGCATCAGCTGTGGACTAGATATGGGACTGGAATCCAGAAACCCCTGCATTCTAGGCTTGGCTCAGCAATTGACTCACTCACGGTATGTGTATACTGAGATGAAAATCCCGTGGCACCAACTCTCAGAGCCTGGGTCAGCTGACTCACACTTGCAGGGCTCAGGCTGCGGGGCTAAAAGTTGCAGTGTAAACATTCAGGCTTGGGCTGGAGTCTCGGCTCTGATACACTCCCCGTCACAGGGTCTCAGGGCCCTGGCTCCAACCCAAGTCTGAACGTCTTCATTGCAGTTTTATAGCTCCACAGTTTGAGCCCCGCGAGCTCGAGTCAGCTGACCTGGCCCAGCTGCGGCCATGCCACGGGTCTTTTGTTGCAGTGTAGATGTACCCTCAGTGAGCTTCTTCACGACACTCCATTTATGTATGTATCATTTTCCCCATTTGTAAAATGGAGAATCAATCACTTATCTATCTTGAAGGGAGTTATGAAGATTAATCAGATATTTGTAAGTCACTTTGGGTATGTAAATTACCTTTGTAAGTAAGTAAGTGGTGAGCCAAGACTTCCATTGTTCTGTTCATTTTGTTACCTCATTCTCCCGCAATGTTTGTCCACCTGTCATGTGCTGCCTGGTAAAATGTCTGTGAGTTCTATGGGGTAGGGAATGTCTTCTTTGTTACCTTCTGTACAGCTCCTAGCTCAATGGAGCCCTGAGCCATGACTGGAGCTTGAGTCAAGTCAACACATTTTGAAATGAAAAGTTGTTTTGAAATATTAAAATGAAAGAATTTTTTTTTTGGCGGGGTGTGTATGGTTTCCAACCAAAACAATTCAGCAGGTTCAGCACAAAGTTACAAAATGTTTTCGTCAACCTGAATCTGCATTTTCTGGCAAAAAAAAAAATTGCCTAGCTCTAATTATAATTACTACTACTGAAGCAGTATTTTAAAAGTAATTGCTTAATGCACGGTAATTTTCAGCATAATTATAATCTCTGTTGAAGGTCTGTTTTTTATATTGTAGTACGAATGGGATGAAACTGAATTATATTTGTTCCAGTCATCGATTGCCTATGCGATGAGAAAGTATTTCTCAGAGGTCAAGAACCAGACTGTCTCATTCCAGTGAGTTATTTTGTTTGACTATGCATGCTGTGAGCATACAGTACTGCTTTTGGTTCAGCAGGGATATGTACTGGTGGAATTAATTGTGATTTCTGTGTAATGTAGCTGGAGGAGATCTGGTGGTTTCATACTAAAGGACATGAGGGTCATAATAGGGGAGCCACTTGCTTTGCTGCATGCTGTTTAATCTTCAGAACTTTTGATAGAAAGAAAAACATCACCTGTGCAATAGTTAGATGATATTTTATTTTTGGATGAGGTAGGAGACTGTAGTTTACCACTTACCAACGGTGAGATTTGATCATGAGAACAGCTGCCCAAATGCTAACACAGGAATATGGCTATGATAGCCAAAGAACAGAACAATAGAGATACCTTCCCTAGAGGAGAAACATTCCATTAAAAATAAAAAATGAAATTATATAAAATTCTAGGCAATAATACTCATATCATATACATGATGCTGAATAGCCAAGGAATTTTGGACCCACAAAACATGAGTTAATTGATCTGAATGAGTTGAAAAGTCACCCACAATAAATAAATGCTACCCTAATCTAATTGCATTTTAAAATAAACAGTCCTTTACTAACATAGGCTATGAACAGAAATAGATATTTGTAGAAACAAAGCATTATACTTGCTAAGTCTCTTTGAATGATTTTTAGATAGCCTCAGAAAATCATCCAAAGAGACCTATCTGCCTAATATTTTTGATCACATTTATAGCACATCAATCACCATTATGTCTAAGCTAAATTCTCAGCAGGGCCTAGGTGCAACCAAATGCTAGTTTTTATTCTCTAGTTCAAAGTGCAAGAAGCTGAGCTGAATTTTGCCCCAAACAGGTGAGGGCAACCCCTCTGTTCTGTGCTTGGCCAGGTGCTTTAAGGCAGGGGATCTCAACCTTTCTTTTTCTGAGGCCCCTCCTAACATGCTATAAAAACTCAACAGCTCACCTGTGCCCCAACAGGCAGTTTTTCTGCATATAAAAGCCAGGGCCGACATTAGGGGATAGCAAACAGGGCAATTGCCCAGGGCCACAAACCACAGGGTGTCCCGCGAAGCTAAGCTGCTCAGGCTTCACCTTCAGGCTCGGGTGGTGGGGCTGGACTTTGGCTTTTTGCCCTGAGCCCCAGTGAGTCTAATGCTGGCTCTGTTTGGTGGCCACCCAGGGGGCCTCGGACCCCTGGTCGAGAACTGCTGCTTTAAGGGATTATGCCAGTGGGTGCCTCAATCCTGGGGCAACACATCTGTATCTAGAATTACTTAGTAACACAAAACTGAAAGCTCAAGTGTTGACAAAAATACCTCTTTCAAGCAATGGACCCTTAAGTTGTGCTGCTAGGTGTTGTTTGTAGGTATAGTGGATGCAAGATTTTCATTCATGTGATTTTAATTGGGGGTATCTCTTTAATCATGAAACAATTTTTTTTATATTTCCCGTCAGGAGCACAGATATCCACATAGGAGCTGTAACACAAAGAATCTCCTTCTATTTTACTGTCAGTATGCCTGGTAATGTCTCTGACATTGTTCCCAAAACTGAGGTGGAAACAGCCATCAGGTGAAATTTTGCTCTTAGAGGAAATAACATGAAAGAGGGTTGGAGCCATATAAATACTCAAATGACTGAGGGAGGTGTTATAAGAAAGTGTGACCCAAAACTAAAATAAGGAAAAATTAGGATGAGAGAAATTGTCATATCAAAAAAGATAAATAGCCTGTCTAATCTGATGTTGTTTTCAAACCTGCCAATATAAGGCGACACAGAAAAGTCGTGAAACTCCTAGAATACATCGAGTTGTACTGTACTGTGCCATGGAGAAGGTACATTTCTCCAACCCCAGCTGGTGACTAGCTTATGCCCTGAACTTGAAGATAGATGGCCCATGTAATTTTAACCTAACTAGTGTAAATTCAGGTGCTATTTTTAGCAGGACCTTCAGGATGATATGTTAGAAAGAAAGCCAGGTATGGGAGACTGTACAGAAGAGATCAAGGATGGAGAAGTAGATTTGTGATACTACCACAGAGACAATAAATTAAGCTGTGTGAACAATAAGGTTGTGGATGATATATAGAGAGAAAAGAAGAGTGGACAAAAGACAAATCCCCGAGGGACTGGCTGGGGAGAATTAAAAACCAAAGGAGGTGCTGATGAGCGGTCAGAGAGATTGGAAAACTAGGAGAGAATATGGCCAAAGAAGTTATAGTTTCTTGCAAACTTTGTCAAAAGCAACAGGAAGATCAAGATGCAGAAAAGTACCTTAGACATGGCCAGGAAAAGGCCCTTGGAGACTTTGGTGAGAGCATTTTTGGTGGAGTGAAGAAGGCAAAATGCAGACTGCAGGGGATCCAAGAGGGAAACAGAGAAAGGGAAGTCAAGGCTGTGGTGTATGCTGGGCATCCAAGGAACTTAGAGGTAAAGGGAAGGAGAGAGAGCAGATGCAAGTAGACAGTGAGGTCAAAAGGTTTCTTGTCTTGTTTTGGTTTGGCGATTAGGATTTGGGATACTATTGTGTACAGTAACAAATCTGAATATGTCAGTTCTGGTTACTACAGAAATTCAGGCTTTCAGTTACTGTCTTTGTAGCAGAGCAAATCTGGCATGTCTTGCTGCTGTATGACTGCGGTATCATGCCAGAAAGAAAAATAGTTTATCACTCCAGTACTGAAGTAGCATCTTCAAGCAAAGAGTTCAATGGAAGTTTAGAATACCTAGAGGATTATAAGGAATCCAAAAATATTTGATTTGTTTGTGTTTAATTTATTCATCTATTTGATTGTGCTCTTGATGGCAGAATGTCTCGGGGACGAATCAATGAGGCTTTCAAACTGGATGACAAAACTCTGGAGTTTGAGGGTATTCTTCCAACACTGGCACCACCTTATGAACCACCTGTCCCTGTCTGGCTAATACTGTTTGGGGTGGTCCTGGGCGTAGTTGTGATTGGAGCCATTGTCTTGATCATCACTGGGCAGAGAGACCGAAGAAAGTAAGTAATATTTTAAATAATATATGCCAGCAGTGGGAGGCCTGGCAACTCAACATTATCGAAGCTGGTCCTGAAGATGGGTTTTCAGCAAGCCTAAATTGTTTATTTGGGTTCCAAGCCACCCTAATGCACTGGAGGAGCTGACCTATAATGTGCTTTGCATGTCTTTTTTTCATAAGAATTATTTGAACCATAGTTTTGATCGGAAACCAATACAACAAAGATTGGTTCATTGTTTTACAACTTATTTGTATCAAGGGTACTTCTACCATATGATGTACCTCCTCGTGTTCCCATTAAAGTCAATAGGCCCAGTGTAATTCGTTTTCGCAAAACGAGTCACATGAAATACAGTATTTTTTTTTACAATAGTCTCTTGTTAGAATCCAAAAGTACCTGATCAAAGCAGAGGCTCAGCTTCCTATATATTAACAGATTCTTTTTGCTTACAGGAGAAGGAAAGCAGGCACAAATGAATTAGTACAAACCAACCCCATCAACCCTGAACCTGAGGATGGAGAAGTCAATCCGGCTTTCATACAACATGAAGATCACCAAACATCGTTTTAGAAAATAATGCAAATTCTCTATTTAAGTTTTTGTTTTCATTTTAGCTTTAACAACAATGCATTGAAAAGACCAAAATAATTCAAATGTCATTAAACATTATGGATTCTGATATTTTCAAGCAGTTGCCCATGTACAGCCTAAGGCAAGTAAATGACTTGTTTGCCATCTCTGTGTTCAATCGGTGATGTACAAATACACAAGAGGTACATTGTGTGTAGCCCTTTCATGACGTATATTTATCATATCACACTGCCACTCATGCTGCTATCCGTCAACCAACTATTTGCAATTTCTCTGTGTTTTCTCCATACTCTATGGCCAAAGGTTTTTAACTTAGCTGTTTCTAGACCATGAGCAGATATATAAAGAAGAACTGAAATAGAAAGTGCTTCCTCCAGATGACGATGAAGCTGTCCAACAAGAAGAAGGAAAATCAGAACTTATCAGGAGAGTGAGCTGAAAAAAGACCTATTAGTCAGTGGACACACACTGAGCAGCTGAGGAACCTCAGCTTTGGAGGACGCAGTTTGAAATTACATGAGTTTTTGCACCTTCAAAGTACCTGACTCCATACTAAACCCAAAACAGAAACTGAAAGAAGACAAACAGGAACTTGAACTTTGTTAAAATGTTGTGGCATATGTAATTTGCTGAGTTGGTGGGCCTGGTAAGTATGGTGTTGAGGCCAACCAGCAAATGTCCCCCCCAAAATAGCTTTTTGGGTTATGCTTCCAGCTGAAAAGGAAACCTATTGTATAACTGTGTTTTGGAATAAACTCCTCTAATATCAAATGACAGAACTTGAATTCTAATTTAAAATATTTCAGCATTTGGTTCCATTATTGGACACCTCACCAGTGGTAGCAGTTAAGTCATCACAATCTTATAAGCAGCTTTTATTTGCATGTATGGAAGTTGCTGTCCATAGCCTGGTTTCTGACTTACCTTATTTATTTTATTTAATAGTTCATAGACATTAAGATCAAAGGGTCCATCCTGATCATCTAGTCTTACCTCCTGCCCATTGCATGGCACAGAACCTCACCAACCCACTCCTGTAATACACCCTTAGCCTCTGGTTGAGTTACTGAAGTCTTCAAATCATGGTTTAAAGACTTAGTTGTTGGATTTTTCAAATAATATTTCTGACCTTAGTATAGAACAGGATAAAATTGAGATCCCAGGAGCTCTCTGACTTATGGTTGTGAGGAAGGTGAACTGGGAACATCCTGGTGATTTAATTTTTGTATGAGGCAAGGGAAGCAGATTGTTCTTCAGGTTATTAATGTTTCCCATTGAACCATTCCAGATCTCCAGATTGTACAGAAAATAAAACATGCTTTTTCCACTGCCACCAGTGGTTTAATTCCCATCTAAAATGGGCTATTCATCTATTTCTGGGTTTTCAACCTTTTTCCATTTGTGGACCCCTAAAATGTTTTGAATGGAGGTGCAGACCTCTTTGGAAATCTTAGGTTGAAAACCACTGACCTATTTCATATACAGATAAATCTGTAATAATCATTAACTCACTGAAAAACCCATATAAAACTTAGAGCTGTCAAGCGATTAAAAAAATTAATCATCATTAATTGTGTGATTAAAAAAATCAATCATGATTAATCACATGATTAATCATGCTGTTAATAATAGAAAACCATTTATTTAAATATATTTGGATGTTTTCTACATTTTCAAATATTTTTATTTCAATTATAACACAGAATAGAAAGTGTACAGTGCTCACTTTATATTTCTTTTTATTATAAATATTTGCATTGTAAAAAACAAAACAAATAGTATTTTTCAATTCATCTAATACAAGTACTGTAGTGCAATCTCTTTGCCATGAAAGTTGAACTTACAAATGTAGATTTATGTACAAAAAAATAACTGATTTCAAAAATAAAACAGTGTAAAACTTTAGAGCCTAGAAAGTCCACTCAGTCCTACTTCTTGTACAGCCAATTGCTCAGACAAACAAGTTTTGTTTACATTTGCAGGAGGTAATGCTGCCTGCTTCTTGTCATCTCAAAATGAGAATAGGCGTTCGTATGGCACTATTATAGCCGGTGTCACAAGATATTTACATGCCAGATATGCTAAAAATTCATATGTTCCTTCATGCTTCAACCACCATTCCAGAGGACATGCATCCATGCTGATGACGGGTTCTGCTAGATAACGACCCAAAGCAGTGCGGACCGACGCATATTCATTTTCATTATCTGAGTCACATGCCACCAGCAGAAGGTTGATTTTCCTTTTTGGTGGTTCGGGTTCTGTAGTTTCCACATCAGAGTGTTGTGCTTTTAAGACTCCTGAAAGCATGCTACACACTTTGTCCCTCTCAATTTTTGGAAGGCGCTTCAGATTCTTAAACCTTGGGTCAAGTGCTGTAGCTATCTTTACAAATCTCGCATTGGCACCTTCTTTGCATTTCGTCAAATATGCAATGAAAGTGTTCTTAAAACAAACAACATGTGTTGGGTCATCATCCGAGACTGCTATAACATGAAATATATGGCAGAATGCGTGTAAAACAGCAGGAAACATACAATTCTCCCCCAAGGAGTTCAGTCATAAATTTAATTAATGCATTATTTTTTTAACGAGTGTCATCAGCATGTCCTCTGGAATGGTGGCTGAAACATGAAGAGGAATACGAATGTTTAGCATATCTGGCATGTAAATACCTTGCAATGTCAGCTACAAAAGTGCCATGCAAATGCCTGTTCTCACTTTCTGGTGACATTGTAAATAAGAAGCGGGCAGCATTATCTCCCATAAATGTAAACAAACTTATTTCTCTTAGCGATTGGCTGAACAAGAAGTAGAACTGAGTGGACTTATAGGCTTTAAATTTTTACATTGTTTTGTTTTTTAATGCAGTTATGTAACAAAAAAATCTACATTTGTAAGTTGCACTTTCACAATAAAGAGATTTCACTTCAGAACTTCTATGATGTGAATTGAAAAATACTATTTATTTTGTTTATCATTTTTACAGTGTAAATATTTGTAATAAAAAATAAATATAAAGTGAGTATTCTGTGGTGTAACTGCAATCAATATATTTGAAAATGTAGAAAAACATCCAAAACTATTTAATAAATTTCAATTGCTATTCTATTGTTTAATAGTGCAATTAAAACTGTGATTAATCGCAATTAATTTGTTTGAGTTAATCGCATGAGTTAACGGCAATTAATTGCCAGCCCTAATACAAATACATTAATTTCTTTCCTAATAATCTTATTTTTCTATGTAAGAAATGGCTGTAGTTTCCATAGTGATGACGTGACCATAAATAGGACGGTAGTTGGACCATGTGACTATGAATGAGAGGAGTGATGTTTCATGAGACACTTTTTCTATTATGATGATTATCAATGAGACTATTCATGTCCTGAAATTTAAGGATTTGCTCAAATTTGCAGGACTGAGACCTTATTGTTTAGATACAAACTTCAACTTAACCATATTTCTTAACCAGACTGCCTTAGCGCCCCCACTGCAACGCTGATCGGGAGCCGCCCGAGGTAAGCCTGTGCCCCAACCCCAAGCCCAGTGAAAGTGAGTGAGGGTGGCGGAGGGCGTGCAATGGAAGGAGGTGGGCTGGAGTGAGTGGGGGTGGGGCCTCATGGAAGGGGCGGGGTAGGGGCAGGGCAAGAGTGTTCGGTTTTGTGCAATTAGAAAGTTGGCAACCCTATGTCCTACCAGGATGATATTAAATGGATGGTGGTGTGATGTATCTTTTTGCAGCTCTGTAAGAAAATCAAGCCAAATTTAGAAGAGAGCAGAGATGTACTTAAAGTGGCTGTTTCCTGCCTCAGTTCCATATAAGTTAATGGGAATTTTCCATTGATGTGGGATCAGGATTTGGCCTGTAATCTAGTACAGGGGTTCACAACCTTTTTCTTTCTGGGCACCCTCCCCTCCCAACATGCTATAAAAACGTCATGGCCCACCTGTGCCACAAAACTGGTTTTCTGCATATGAAAGCCAGGGCTGGCGTTAGGGGGTAGCAAGCCGGGTAATTGCCTGGGGCCCCATACCACAGAGGGCACCACAAAGCTAAGTTGCTCAGGCTTCAGCTTCACTCCGGGGTGGCGGGGTGCGGGTCCCTGGCTAAGTTCCCTCTAAGTTGCGTGGCCGCGTAGTTGCCTATTAAGCCCTGTGCCCTCCCCTGGCGCTGGCCCCAGTGTGGAGCTGCCGCGGCTGGGAGAGAGGCGCTCCCCCTCCCCCCACTGGCCCCAGAGTGGAGTTGCCTGCCCCTGACTTGCCGCGGCCGGGGAAGAGGAGCCCCTCCCTCGGCCCAGCCCCACTGGAGCTGCCGCAGCCAGGGAGATGCACCTCCCCTCCAGCCCCGAGCTGCTAAGGTGACAGAGGGCTGAGGAGAGTCCTCTCTCCCCACTGTAGCCCCTGGGCAGCCTGCACCCCAGACTCCTCATCCCCGGCCCAACCCCAGAGCCCGCACCCCAACACTCTGCCCCAGCCCTGAGCTCCCTCCTGCACCCCAAACCCTGAGCTCCCTCCCTCACCCTGAACCCCTCATCCCCACCCCAGAACCTTCACCCCTAGCCAGAGCCCTCACCCCCTGCACCCAACCCTCTGCCCAGCCCTGAGCCCCCTCCCGCACCCTGAACTCCTCATTCCCAGACCCACCCCAGAGCCGCACCCCCCCACCCCAGACCCTCTTCCCCAGCCTTGAGCCCCCCCTCACTCCAAATCCCTTGGCCTCACCCCCACCACATGAATTTTGTTATGTGCACCAATATGAAGGTGATGTGTCACATATCACTTTCATATTGGTGTACATACAAAAATTCATTCCGCACATGGACGTAAAAAATTAGAGGGAACACTGGTCCCCGGGCTTCAGCCCTGCGCGACAGTGCTTCGGCTTTCTGCCCTAGGCCCCAGTGAGTCTAATGCCGGTCCTGCTTGGTGGCCCCCCCTGAAACCTGCTTGTGGCCCCCCACGGTTCCCCAGACACC